GCAATAGGGCCACGACCTGTCCAGCAAATCCCTGGTTGTCTGGCGAAAGCAAGAAACTGGGCAAGCTGCGATTGCTCAAACCGGATATAAGAAGCACCCTTCAGTAAAGGACCTTCACCCATGGTGAGCCCAACTTTTTTCGACTTGAACTCATTACCGCATACCCGGGATGGACTTTGAAGCCCAGTGATCGTCCCGTTGTTCTGTTTACTCGCGAGCTTCCGGTGCCTCGATCTTGTTGTGCCAGGCTCTGCCATCCTGGTCGCCACGTATCCTCGGATTGGCGGTTGGGCACCGGCATGCGCCGAAAGAAAACCTTGGGCGAGCTTAAAGGGCAACTGGAAAAGGGAGATCTCATTCTCTCTCTCTCCTTCTCTCTATCTCTCTCCCTCTCTCGCAGAGGTAAGCTCCTCGCAGCACCTTAGCAGCCCAAAAACAAAGAACTGGAAAAGGGAGATCCGAATCTCTGTTCAAGACTTCAATCCCAAAGAGCTTTGTTTTCAGCGGATCGACGCAAATGCCTTCGGCTTCAACTTGTCAAGAAAGCGATGGCAACACCCGAGCCATCGCCCGGCATAGTCCTCTTACAACGAAGCGATCGATAAAGCACATGTTGTTGCGTTTTATCATTTTGTTATCACTTGTGTGGGATAAACAGAGTGCGCCAGGAGGGGGGAAGAGGGTGTTACTCAGCGACTGCCACGAAATTGGAAGCGGCATTCAAATGCTGCCAAATGCTTGGCCAACTCCCACTACCCTCCCCGAGTCCCCGTCGAGCTGCGCTTGTGTAGGTTGATGTTTGCCGAAGACGCACCAAAGCGCAAAGGGATCCGTGGCATCGGGGATTCGAATCGTGACACGGACCTCGGATGGCTCCAGCCTTCCAGTTCGACTCTGCGACGTTGAATTGATGTGAGATGCAGCGCCAGGCCGTTTTTGGACCGAGGTGTTTATCACGTTTGGCACCGCAGCTTCTGGTTCTGGCCACGGGGAGCCGAATACCTCCTGAACACATGCTTCACACATGCCCGTCAAGGAATGAGGAGTCCTTCTCGTGCCGATTGGAAATGCAAGCAGGGTTCTGGTTGTGTCTGACCGGTTCAGTTTACTAAAAGGATTCGCTTGTCCAATGCGCATCCGGGGTCAGAAAGCATCAACTGCCAAACGACAACCGAGAAACCGTGGTACCTCCACTCATGGCGCCACGCGATGGGGAGATGGCCTGGCGCAGGAAGCCCGGACGACTATCTTGTGACGTACAAATTGGGGGATGTCGTCCCCAATCTCCAAAAGGAGAGGATGTGATCCCCACGAACAACAACCAAACGCACCTTCGAATCAAAGGGTTGATCAAGGCTTGGCCACGTGACCCATGATTCACATCCTAATTTGTGACCGGAAAAGCTGTCTAGCTCCACAAAGACTTTTCCAACAACCTGCCAGGTGCGCAAATCATTGGCCCAAGCTAAAGGAGCAACTCCAATCACAAAAAGGGCTGAAGGTGTTCCTGTAGCCCGTACCATAAGCATCAACTGCTTCAAATATGACAAGACAGGTGTTGACATGGGAGACTATATAAGCAGTGTTCACAAGCGCATCGACACTCCGAAATGCGAAACCCCGCCTCTGAAAACAATATGCCAGCATAAGAAATATGCCCGCCTCCCTTGCTTGGCTCGGCAACTGTTGTACCCTGTCCACACATTTGTTTTGGAGGCTGGTTCAGGTGCATGGTCTTGCAACCTTTCGGGATACAAAAGCAGCATTACACCCTCCGAGCAGTCCACCCACGCAGGAAAACCAACCAACATTGACTTGAGAGACAGTTCCAAGCCACAACCTCAGGCCGACCAACATGATGCAACATCCGAGGCCACCAACCTATTTTCGCTCTGTGGTGGCCACCCCTATGACACTATCCCGACTATCCCTGTCATCCCCGTTTCAATGATGGGAACGGAACCCATTACGCACCACTTTGAACCCTGGCTCGAAACCAGCGGTTTTTCTCGCCGTCACGGATCCGCCGCGCCCGCCGCTCATCCCATGAGCGGCGCTTCGGTTCCCCGGGGCCCAAACCGTGCCCGCGGCCCGCGCCTTGACCATGATCTGCTTCGCAGTTTCCGCCGGCTGCGCCTGGACCTCCGAGGCCGCCAGGAGAAGGCGGGGGTCTTCCGGCGGCCTTCGCGGCTTCGGTGTCCGGGGGATGTGCTTCGGGGGACAGGGAGACCAACTGGAGGTTTCTCCCGTTGGTGGCCCTACCCCAAACAGGGCACCCAAAAAGAACGGCCCAATGTTTGGACGGAGCTTTGCCGAAGCTTTGCCCAAGGATGCACATTTTCCTGGATGCAATCTGCAGGGATCTATGATCTATCCGGCAAAGCTTGGAGAAGACTTGCCGAAAGGCGCGGAAAGGGTGACGAAACATGGACCAAGTGGAACCTAAAGGGTCCAAATTGGTCGGAGTTGGGCAGAGCTCTTAAAGTGAAATGCAAGTCGGCTTGACTCCCCATATTTCCCTGGCACGGCAGTGCTGGGGAGGTCCAGATCGTAGCTAGCAGTCGACTATAGCAATGGATATCGTCACTGGCCATGCGCTTCTTTGGGCACAGGGATGCTTGGATGGCAAGTGACCGAATGAACGGGATCTTCAGCCCATGGGCGCAAGCAAGCCCCGGATCTTGTTGGAACTCTTCAGTCAGGATCCCTGCTTGGGGCACACGGCGGGCCTGAAGGCGGTAGCCAACGCAGTCCTTGATCATGAAGAGTTGAACAAACGGCTACTAAGGTTACGCTGTTGCTCACGGGGTAAACGACTGTTTTGTCTTACCAAGGCGTTCCTTGGGGTTGTGGGTGCGGGCAAAGCGCGGTGCGTCGAGCGCTGGCTCGTAGGGCACGCTTGGTTGCACCAACTCTTCGACCGGCGTCTCATAGTGTGGCGGGTCCTTAGGCAGCCAGCTTCTGGTGTTCAAGCCCCACACCCTATCGCCAAACTCTCTGCAAGAATACATGGCGATGGCTCTTAAAGGGTTCCGCACCCGGTATTGAACAGAGTGAGTGAAGCCGCAAACAGGCAAATCTTAGCGGGCCGCCCTTTTCTGGATCCATACCATGGGCTTTTGTGACCAGTCAGACACTCCGCAATTGAATACGTTTCCCCAACTGAAAGCCATGTTCCGGGACGTCTGGAAGGGTTGGGGGACACTCCAAAGCAAAGGGTACTTAGGGTTACGGCAGCATAGGGTTCGCATGCATTTTGGGAGCGGTTGTTGGACAGGGAGCGGAGTGGCTTGGAGCGGAACTAGCCCGAAAGAGTTGGGGATGCCCACCACACAGCAGAATTGTCCCTCCTATACATAAAGGCAACTGGTGGGCTTTGAACCAATGCAGCAAATTCCATGACTCATATGCAACTGTGTTGCGACAGAGCAGACATGGGGCACGGCTTAAAAAATCCATGCCGCGCAACAGACTGTTGTTTCTTCGCAAGGGGGTTCAGGTGGAGAGTGGTAGTTCATGGGCAATGGTGTGCCCATGCAAGCTCAACTGGTGAAACAACGAATCTTGCATACACGTGCATGCAACACAACATCAACTACAATGTTGTTTCTTCCTAACAACTTGGACTCCAACTAGGAGCTACTGAGTTCTGTAACATGGCATCTGCGAGTTCGAAACTTGCTATTCAGACCTGTTTGCCATGGGAAGGAAATCCTAACTGCAAGCCATGCTTGCGTATTGGATGAGAGCCTTGACCTAGAAGTAGCTGCCATTCGTTCAGCACGGGCAAATACGCTAGCGCCGGGCCCTTTCACATCATAGAAAGCATCACCAAACAAGCATCCTGCAAATCTCCATCCCCAATCGCCGAACTGAACGTATTGCCAATTAAAGCCTGATTGGAGCCAAAGACTGACGCCAACTGGTTGCGTTCATGTGGATAACTGCAAGCGTCTGGCCAGCGAAGTGCCGAGACGCCAGCTTCAGGCTCAAAGAGCTGAGCACATGCTTCCCGTCATAGAGTAAGGCCAGCAGATGGTCTCCAGGTGCAATTGGCGGGATCTCACACTCCACGCCGTTGACGTCCACTGACTTCGGGGGATACCTGGGATAGGAGCCTCCCAAAGGAGAATTTTATGAATGGCCTGGCTTCGACTGCCTGCATCGATATCTGCAACACCCCATTCCCTGGCTGCAAGCACGGACTTCGACCATAGGACCTTGTGACAACCGGTATCCTTGGTCCCTTCATTTTGAGGTGCAGCAATTGCACTTGGCAGCTGTCTGCAATATTGGACTATCGAAGGCAACAGTCAAACCAAATGTTGTTTCTCCTCGGTACTCTTCAAAGGGCAATAAATCTTGCACACAAGAAATCAACTGGTGGCTTCTGTTGCTGGGTTTATGGGTGAAGCACGCCCAGGCCATCAATCAAAGGCTACTCGACATGAGATACAGCCTGGGACAGCCTGTAAAGGTTCAAGCCGAAATGCAACTGATCCTTTTGCACATGACATAAGCCAGCGCTCGCAAACAACACACATGCACACACAAAACAAAACAGGCAACACAGCACCATGCCAAAGAGAAACACGCACACACACACACACACACACACACACACACACACACACACACACACACACACACACACACACACACACACACACACATACACACACCTACACACACCAACACGCCAACGTCTCGCCCATAGAGACTGAATCAAAGTGTGCCCCAGTTCCGTCTGCCCAAACATCTAGGCCCCTGACGTGACACATCTGAAACCATGGATTCCCAGTTTTCGAGACCATCGAGTCGGCCACTCGCTTCACAACAGCCTGCTCCTGCCCCACTGCAGGCCAGCTTGCAACTTGACAACTTGGCTGCAAACTTGGCATTCCAAAAAAAAACACTTGCACTGCATGTCCACGCCAAAAGTGAAAGCTAGTTCGGACTCCAAGCAGAGCACATCGTGCGGACGGCCTCTTTGGTTCGCCTTATCGCCAAAGGCGCCGGACGTGGCCGTACTGGCAGTGGATGGAGACGCCGGGCAGCGGCTGGCCATAGGCCATGTCGGGGTAGCTCGCCTCAGAAAATGGTCTGAAGTGTCCATGATGGGATTTTGTATTACGCCCTGGGATTACGCCCACTGGGAAATGACCCCACTTAGGCATATTTCCGGGATACAATCATGATTCTTGGACCATTTCGGGCCATTTCCCAAGGGTGTAATTCCAGAATGTAATACAACAACCCTGAGATGGATGGACGAAATCCGGTCACACCACCTAAGAAACGGTTTCAACCATGGTTTGTCGGTGTTTACAGGGGAATCGACTCATTCCAGGGTTTCTGAACGGTGTTACAGAGGATTCCTCATTCCAGTGCTTCTTCCGTGGCGCAAAATGGAGTTCGTCCATCCACAATAGGATAGCGTCTTTCCCAAGAGATTGCAGGGCTTGGCAGTGGCCGACAAGGCCGCCGTGTTTGTGGTCCCAAAAAGCTCATCAGGGATCCGGATGCATTATACACCGATCGAACCTTGCAACTTGTAAATTGTGGTGTCCAATTCTTTATTTTGGTGTTGAAACAGCAACATGTTGCAAATGGATGGGCAAAATGAGCTCCTCTTAAGGAGCCCCCATGGCCAAACGTTCGCCTCGTTGGTCTGGAAGCGCAGCACGGAGCTGGTGGTGATGCGTTCGGGTAGCCACCAGGTGCCCCGCAAAGGCGCGAAGTAGCGGAAGAGGGGACCCTCCACCAGCACCTGCCCAGTAAAGCAACTGGGCGCCCGGCCCCATTTTGGTTTTGCCCGGCACCCCCTGCTTTTGTAGCTGAAAACCGCAAGGAAAACCCGCCATGCTGTTTCTTTCCTCTTTTTTTTGGGGGGGGGTCCCTGAAGGAAACAAGAGCCACCATAGGAATCCCACAGCCGAAAGGAAACCAATGCGGATCCCGAAAAATGGAGACTCAAGGACCTTCTAGGAACATTCGTCCAGCCGGCCGACACTCTCTCTCGAAGCGGGGAGGGCAAGAGGCAAGAGGCAAGACGTGTGTGAGGGCAACGAACTTGCAGACTTGGAGAATCTAGTTTGCACTGAACCAAAAACTCCAATACCAAGATCAAACCGACAAAGCACCAACACAGCTTCAAACGCGGGACTGGCCCTGGAAGGAATAGTTGCGTGTGGATTCTCTGCACCTAATTGGGAGATTGTCGGGACCCTGCGGGAAGTACTCAAGATTCCTCAGGCTTGTCAAACTCCAGGCTTATCAAACTCTACAACAACAGGTTTTGCGTGTGAAGTTGGGAAGTGTTTCTAAGTGTAGGAGAACCATTTAGAAGTGTGGAGTTTCGGCCAAAACCGTACCATTCCTACACTTAGATTTTGTTCCACAAATAGAAAGGGCTCCAGGTCAATTGGGGCCCCGTTCGGTTTCCAAAATAGCTTCTAAGTGTGAGTCCACGCAGCCAACAAATGTGGACACCCAAAGGTTCTATCCGGATCTTTGGACATGTTTACTGCAACTGAACAGGATCAGGCAACTCATATTGTATTCAGTCGCAATTTCACAGCTGCACCGGTGTGCTGGCTTTTCATGTTCCCTTGCCATAACCAGGGGCATAAGATCAAATCCAAAAGCATAGCAAGTGGAGACAATTGGCACCACCGCAAACATGTCTCGGCGGTAGAGAGCCTGGAGATACTCAGCTTCCCGCCAACTGGCGGTTTGGTTTGGATTTTTGGAGATCCAGGATGGGTTTCCCATTACCCTCTAAAAGCACCGAAGGTTCAAATCCCACAGACCACCAGACTTGAGGCAGACTTGAGATAAAGGCTCCCGTGAAAGCCCTTCATGGTTCAGCTCGTTCTACCCGTGTAGAGAGCTTAATCGGCGTTGCATGGGCTTCCCTCAGGGGGCATCCCTCAAATTGGTTGTATTCCTTGACCTTTCATTGCCACAACGGATGCCTCCGAACCTGCTTTACCAAATGCCCCAAATCAGCTGGAATTTAGGTGATTCGTTCATTGGCCCCTGGTATCCGTATCCTTTAGCGGGGTGGGGCTAGCTCACTTATAACCATGGGTCCAAGCTACCTGTTTGCCTCAGGCCATGGGTTAGAAGCAAGTGATACCATGGTTCTAAGCTACTACTCATCAGACTTAAACCCAGTTGATGTCCAAATCCAAGCCCAGAAGGTTTAATCCTGCTCAAAAACATGCAACCAAATCGTCTGCACAGCACCTGTCCCGTGGGATCTTCCAATCGCACGGCCACTGCGTGCGGCACGGAGGCCTCGAGTTCGAATCCCAACAAAATGTTGCCTTTGGGTTTGCGTTTGTTTGAGTACCCTTTAACAGGAGTTGATAAGGAACAAGAGGAACAGTAGAACATGGTCCAATCCTCTTGGACACAAACCACATTAACCAAATGACCTTGTAGAATGCTTCCAAGCTCCGAAACACTGCGGGACAAGTGCTGGTCCAAAGCTTCCTTTGTCGGTACCATCAAAAGAAGCCAGTGGAACCAGTTCCGAGGGTTCGAAGCTGTTGTAAATAGACAGCGGCTAGACCTTCGGAATCATCCATCATAACTTGGGTACAGAGCTGTGGGGACTGATCACTTCTGTGACAGCGCTTCCCAAAGAGTAGGTGTTTCGTATGAAGGGGGAGTCCCTTGTATCACAGAAGTGGGGATAAACCCCTTGATCCCACAACCCTGCTTGGGTACGAATCCACACTTGCACAAACGAAACAGCTAGACAACATTCCGGCCGGGCAAATGGAACCTGTTAGACCCTGGCTGTGGCGTCTCAAAAGACAATGGACAGCCCCTTCATGGACAAGCCAGCGCTAGACCAAGCGCTTGCAAGTGACCGTATGCCAAAACTGATGGGGCACGGGGGCAAGCGGCAATAAGGTGGTAGCGATGCCGATGTTGAAGCCCAGAACTTTCTGTAACAAGCGGACACGGTACTTATATGTCCACACCCGACACCCTTGGAATTTTTAGCCAACGAAGGAACATTCTCAGGCGAGCATAGTGTCCGCAGCATAAACGCAACGAGCAATATGCGTTTGTCGGAACATACGGGCATAAGAACAAGAAGCAGCATGCAAATTCAGTTGTCATTGGAGGAACCACTTGCATTGACCACAAATTGTCCCTGAACAACAAACTCTCAACGACAACTCTGCTTGCCCTCTCTTTTGGGCGGCGCGAGTGCCCAAATCGTCTTCGCTCTTGAGTTCTAAGCACCTTTTCTGGAAAACTTTGGTTTCCTTTCTTGATGAGGCAAGAGCCAGGCTGAAGAGGTCACAGGGGCAACTGGGGGGGGTTCTGAGAACCTCTCAAGTCATGTCTCCAGTCAGCTGAGGGCCAGGCCAAGGGCACTTGGCAACGCGCCATCTGCGGAGACAGCGCCAACACGGCGGTGCTCAAATCCCCCATCTCCGTCTGGCGCCAGCTGCAGCGGTAGGGCACTCGCGCCAAAACCTGACGAGGCTACCCAAAAGCCAGTTCGCACATTTTGGCGCTGGAACCACCCAGGAGAAGACCAAGCTGACGCCCTTACCTGGCACCAGCAGAGCGAGATTGTGTATACGAGGCCTTCCGAAGCTTCGCACGCTGCATTCTAAACTGCACTGTGCACTTATTAGGAGCTGTCAGCAGGCATCCTTTACCACACATAAATTATGGTCCAAAAACTCTGATCCTTTTTGAGCTCACTAGACAACGCCCATTCCATGAATAGCAACAAGTGAACATGGCCGAGGATCGAGGCCCGTTGACCACTCTTGGAAACTGTCCCAGAATGCCAGGGGCACATGGCACAAGCAGCTCACCCAAAGATGGAACGGAAATTGCCACACTTGGAATTTGCATTGAGGCAGCGGCACCCAACTGGCTTGCGGCCGTGCTGCTCCCGAACAGCGAACCCGGAGGCGCGTCATGCCAGATATGCCAGCCCGCAAGTAGACCCGCAGGGAAAAAACAAAAACAAAACGAAGGGGCTCCACCTGCAAATCCAAACCTGTCGTGTTAAAATGGGCGCCGTGTTTCTTGAGGGGAACCCCGTTTTGCCGGGGGTACAGCGGAACCCAAACAAAAAAAAACGATGCCTCTGCCCGAAAGAGGGCACCGGAAGGAAGGTTTCTCGCCTCAAAGAGGGGCGCGTGGCTCTTCCACTCCTCAGAGGTGGATGGCTGGGCTAAGGGGCGTGGGCGTCTGCGTGTGTCTCTGTGTTTGCTTTTGAGGCTCGGTAAGCCAAGCGAAAACTCCCCTAATTGAGTTGCTGCCCTCAGTTCAGTAACTATTTAAAGTGCATGTATAAATATTGATTTCTTAAAGGTTGACTGTGCGAGCGCATGGTGCCGTTTCCAGGTCCCTCATAGATTGCCTTTCACTTTACAGCAGGTGTTGCTTGCCGTTCGCAGTTCAAAGGATGTCAAAGTCAGAAACTTGGTGAATCTCTGAAAGTGCCAGGGATACTGAAACACAGAAGCCAATCAACAACAACAGTATCGAAGGCACTCAAACCTCAGCAAAGTGCAAACATCTACCCAAGGTTGGTGGCATAGGTTCCTGCACGACGCCTGGCACAAGGGCCCAAACAAACAAGAACATTGACTAGGCTGTTCAAAATAGAGTGCTGGCCAATCCTAATCCAAAATTCCAATTCGAAACACCACTGCAAAGAGTCGAAGAGGCCCCCTTTCGAAACCCAAGGCATTGATGAAGGATTGCCTTTGAACAGCCCAGATTGATTACCTTTCAGGCTCGATATCGCATACACTAGGCTTCGTATACGAGAACGATATAGTTGAGGGCAGAATCTGATCACTCTGGTTCGTTCCCGTTCTCGACCCACGAGCATGTGTGCGTGAGGAGCTCAATGGTTGCCTTTAAATCATCCTGCTCAAAGGCTGGGATGCCCTCCCCCCCAAAGAGCGAAGGCGCCAGAAACACAGCAGCTCCCAGCGGCGCAGTGTAGGGCGGCAAAGCTTCCACTACCTGGGCCCACCGAATAGGTCGTTTGATCGACCTCTTGGGCACGACCACCAGTAACAAGACAAAAGTTAGAGCCAACGCCTTCACAAATTGGACCTCAAATATTAAATTGTATCCAGCAGCCAAGCGCCTGCAGCAAGCAAACCAAGTGCGTTCGCCAGATGCGCTTGGACATGGTGTGTGACCCAGTAAAACTTAGGAAAGCATCCTAGGGACATCCTGTCGGAAGCAAAAAACACGAGCGGTGTTCTGGCCTGCATGTCAACCTGAACAGATTGGAGAAGGAATGCGTACTGCGTGGCACCTCCAAGTTGTCTTGTGCGGGGTTTTTCCGCAAGGTCCAAGGAGCTGGGTCTGCTGGAGCCGCGATCCACCGAAAGTCCTCCACTGCCATCACCACAATCCTCAGCTAAGAACGACAATTCTGCGACAACCTGTTCAACCTCGCAACCCTCTTGCTACAACAGACCAAGGACGTGCTGTTGTAATGACGGCCTCCTGCAAACTAAAAGGGCGCGGAGGTCCCCGGGAAGGGAGTGAGAAAGGCCATGTGCATCATGTGCCAAGAAAAACAGAACAGGCTGATGTGCATCTTAGAGTGTCAAATTTCTGAGGCAATCGCTCAGTTGTCAAGATTCGCACGGGCCTTACCATAACCCCCGCATTGAGCACCACATACCTTTGCTTTCCGCCGCCGGCCTTCACCCAATTCCGGAAACAAACAGTTTTTGAGCTGTGTTCCGGTGTTCTTCGCGTTCTGCATTCCAAATGGGTATGTGTCAAACTAGGGCGACATCCCAAATGGTGGTTTCCCTTTTGGTCTTCCAATTAAACCACCCCTAAAAAGGGTACCAACTGAAAGTCTTCCACTAACACCACTCCAAAAAGGGACCAAATGAAAAAAAATCCCCCCCCCCCCCCCAGTCCGTTTGTGTCAAACCCGACATTTTGCCTCGTCCCGCCGCGGCGCTGCTGCCGAAAGTTCTCCTCAATCGCCACCCGCAGCTGCAGCGACCCCGCCGCGGTCTTCGAAGAAATCGCCGGGGCGCGGCAGTGCACGGACGAGCCCGTCGCGATGGCCAAGGAGGTGCCGAACCTGGTGAGGGGAAGGAAAACAATACAAACATATATCCATCAAGAATATATACTTATAACTTATACATTCCAAGGAGAATTCAAACTGACAGCTCCGCAGATTTTTCCACTCTCGATCGAAGCATGTGTCGTAACCCACATTCCTGTGGGATTTGCGTTGGGGTCCAGGTTACTCCAGCGTGCTCAGGATACCCTGCAGTTGTCCTGCAGTACCTCCCAAGGCACTTTGAAACATCACAAGGCACTCACAGGAATTCAGCAAAAGTGATGACTGCGATAAGGAAGCCTCAGTAGAGCAGGAGGAAAAAGGCTGTAGTACAGCTGGAAGTGGTTGAGACGGTACCACGGGTCGTTGGCCCCCAAACGGCTGATCGCATCAGCCCGATTGCATTTGGAGGGGATGTACTCCCAGTAGAGCGAAGCACGCAGTGCCAAGAGGAGGGATGTAGGTGGCCATCCGAGAAAGGTTGGGGTTATCGCTCCAACCCTTGACTAGGCACACAAGGCTGGCAACGTTGATAGGCGTCCAAGCCGCGGCTCAGAAACTGCTCCCAGGTATTATAGGCTCCTGCAAGCTAGCCGCCGCCGCCTGGATATGCAAAGCCGGCCGAAGAGGGGAGCATAGCGCCAGCTTGTTGCTCCCGCGAAGAATCCGACTGGCCTCCTCTCGCCGCATCATCGATGAGCCTCTGCTTTCCCGAAGCCTGCGTGATCATGTGCGTGCACGCATCGCGGGATCAGGCGAGAAGGCTGGCCCTGGACGAAGCGCTGAAGTTCACTGGGTCGCATGGGCGGCGTGCAAAAACCTTCTTTGTGGTTGCGTGTGGACTGTTCGAGCACGAAGGTGTCCGTGGGCCCCGGGCGGACGGCGGAGATCATGAGGGCATTGTGCTCATGCCATCCGTCAAGCGCGCCAGAGTAGGAAATTGCTTCCGCTGGCCGATGAGGAAAAACGCCGTGGTGGGGAACATAGCCAACAGCCGGCAGACCCTTGATGTATCTGATAAGGCCACGTGGCGCCTCGAGGCCACCCCTCGAAGAGCATCAGTCTGAAAAGAGATGAGGTGCTGCGAGACCGAGGCCCAGCGGCGCTTGAGCTCCTTAAGGGCGCATCACCATGTCTGCAGCGTGCCAGAGATCGTCGTCGAATACGGGAAACGCCTCCAGCGGGGTAGCTTCCCGAGCCCATCGCAAAGACTCAGCAAAGTGCTCGTCAGGAGTGAGCCCGTACCTGACCAGGAACGAAATGGCGGCTTTGTGATTGTAGGCGCCGTGCTGTTTGCCCTCAGCAAGACGCTGCCGCCTCCGGCTAGCGCCATCGAAAAGACTGGAACCACTCGGCAGGATACAGCTTGCAGAAGGCAAGGATCACGTCCTCCTGCGGAAACCAAAGTGAAATCAAACGCAGGGCTGCACTGCCCTGTTCTGGAAATTGTGATGGAGACTGCTCGCAAGAAGGGTCCACGCGACTGTCGCTGCCTTCTCCCAGTAACTCTGGGGCTGAGGATCTGGGTGAGTCGCATCAAATACCATTCCAGCCACAACGTCCGCATCGCAAACACCGTCCTGGCCGCAGTCGCAGGCCAACCGCTTGCCTTGCAAGGAGGGCAGCTCAGCCTGCAAGTTGGCGAGGACAAATTCCACGTACAAGCCCCTGCGCGAAAGGTGAGGCCCACTTTGATCGCGGCGTGCGATGGGAATGGCGCCCCTGACCGACGTAGACCACATCTTCCGGGGTCTCACCATCATGAAGCACGTCGTGAATCCGCACCATGGGGAGCCGAGCTCGCTCTTCCGGTTGTAGCGGAGGGAGGCCCAAAGTGATGGCCAGTAAGGTCATGGCCCAACTGCGCATGGCCCGTGGGTCGATCTCCAACCAGTGCTGCCGACGTCCACACGCCTCCAAAGAAGGCAGCCGAGGGACGCAAAGCTGGGCCTGTCCTTCCCTGCCCGCCACCAAGCCGACACCGCAATGGCGAACGCCAACGTGTCCGAGTACCCTGCTTCCGGTTTTGAGGGGAAATGTCTGCCAACTTGGGTGTCCTCCCAAGGGTCCCATTCCCACGCCGCGTGCTGATGGTGGCACTCGCGGGGATGAAGGCGCTCGATCTCGTAGAGGTTGTGCCTGAGCCGCTGATGCTTGCATCATGGCCTCTTCCTGTGGCAGGGCCCAGTGGAGACTTCGGGCAGGATTCTCTTGCAGGGCTCCCCGACCATCCTCAGCGACGGCCTGCAGCTGACTGAGGATCCAGTTGCGTGCAGCGTTGTCCGTTGCTGGTTCCTCGCATCAGGGAGTCCCTCCGGGTACTGGTTGGGGCCCTGGGCGACCATCTGAGAACTGGGTCTCCCTTGCCCGGGACTTGGTGTCAAAAAGCAAACTTTGGATCATCCTTGAGCCAAAAGGCCCCGAATGATCCAGAAAACTCCTTGAAGAATGAAACCTGCAAACACTAGCCTCCCAAGACCTGATGCAGGGATATATCTATATATATATATATGTATATAGCTATGTCCACAAAAATATATATATATTTTATACCTGCGACTTCCGGAGGGTACTTTTTCTTGCCGTTTTGCGAAAAGGCATATGTTTCTGCCTTTGTCGCGGGAAAAAAAGGAGACACAAAACGGGGGAAAACAACAGAACACCGTTTGCCTGAAAAACTGCCGTTTCACAAAATGCCCGTCCAACGGTCGGGAAAAGTTGCCGTTGGGACGGGACAAGTTGCCGTTTGATCGGGTAGAACTGCCGTTTCGATTTAGCAAGCCCGCCTGCAATGCTCAACTTGCAAAAGTGAGGTTTCGCTAAAAACAGTGCCATCTCGATGGAAGACATGGTTTTTAAGCACACAGCAGAAACATGTACCCGCTTATAAATATGATAGGTGATGCATGTCCAGGAAAATAATGGAACATGTGGAATGCTTTCCAAGCACCATCTTGCCACCCCAGCCACTCATTAAGCTGAGTTCTCTCCTAAGACATTGTTGAGCATGTTGATTTGCCACCGCAAACCTGTACCCTATTCAAAGCATGACATGAAGCACATGCCTCTTTTCCCAAAGTAAAAAAACAAAAGACAACACGCGCGCCGACCCACAAACACCCACCCCCCCAACCAACCCGTGCAGTATGCATCGCCCCGTCGCCCTGTCGCCCGGTCGCCTGCCGAAATCGCACCGCAGCTGCGCGGAGGCGGGCAGCCGCGCCACTTGGAGCGCCAGAGGCGTGGCGAGCTGCGCCAGCGCCAGGGGCGGCGACACCGCGGAGACCACCGGCCGCAGACGCAGAGTCCTCGGCGACGGGGCGTGGGGCGTGGGGAAAGGGAAACCGGCGGCAGTGGTTCCTCCAGGTTTTCTGTTGGTTTGGGGAGCCCAGGGCGGGCACCTGGTTTTTGAAGTTGAACATGGAGCTTGAATTGGTGGGCCACGGAAAGGCGTTGATCTGGAGATGCATTTGTAATTAGCTGACATGCGCTGACTGACCCTGAACTGTTCCATTTCTGGTGGCAAAACACAAGTTTGCCCAATATCTTTCTATCTTTATTTCCTTTCTTTCGTTCTTTCCTTTCTTTCTTTCTTTCCTTTCTTTCTTTCTTTATTTTCTTTCTTTCTTTCTTCCTTCCTTCCTTCTTTCTTTCTTTCTCTCTCTCTCTCTCTCTCTCTTCCGCGTTTGCCCAATGACACAGTGAATGTTGATGGTTTGAGGCCCATACTTTCCCTGACAACCAATCCGAAAAACAGCACCCTTCTCAGTTCTCCAAAGCACAGCCTGGCCTGGTTGACAAAACGCAAAGGTGTCAAAGCCTGCACACTTTGCACCTGATTTCTCTTCGGGTTTTCTTTGCCCCCGAAAAAGACGTCCTTTTGCAACCCGAGGCTTCGATTTAGTTCGAGCGGCAAAGGGAATGCTGGCCCCAGGTTCTTCTGAATGCCGGCATGGCTGAAGACCAGCTGCACTCGGACCTGGTCACATGAACATCCCTTCCATTTGGTTGAGGCCCAAGGAAAATAAAAATAAAAATAACAACCACACCCATCCTATTAATAGGGCTGTGTTCTCCTCCAATAGTGAAGAATCCACGCTAAAGGGGACACCCCTTATAAATCAGCCAGGGGGTTGTTTTCATCGGGGTCAACAATACAAGGGAGGGGTGGCCTTTTTGGTCAAATGTCCACAACGGCACTTCAGTCCTGCTGTTGCGGCTGAGGCCATGAAAAGGGGAGGGACAGGAAACAAACCCTGAGACTCTCAACATCGCTCAATCCTCCAGACAAAGAAATGGGGCGATCGAGGGCAATGAACATCACGTGATCCCTTACCAATTACGAGCAGTTTCTTTGTGCCGTTGAAAGTGCACATTGCTTGGAATGTACTGCATGTTCAGCATCAGTCGTGCGTTTCTGGGGCGTTTGGAGGCGTGACTTCTCTAAAGGCACACCTCTCTGCTCCTTCATTGACTTGCATAGAGCTCTGACCTGTTCTTTTGACGTGCAACCTGCAAGCAACCAGGCAGGACGTTGCATTGATTCGATGGTCCGCGACCGCACCAGAGCAGATAAATATACAGGTAGCAGTGAGTGATTCATGGATTATTGGCTTGGGATTCAACTTTTCAAGAGCAAACCCTGCCTCACTGACAACGAATAATTTGCATGCAGCATCCAAACCCTTCAAAACCATGCAGGTCGCATTCCCATTCAGTTCAATTCATGGAGAGTGCCATCTACTCAGCACTGGCAGATCTCTTGGCCTGGCTGCGAAAAAGTGGGCGAGTCCCACTAACTTAAAGACCTCCCCACCTCAACACCCAAGGTCGCGCGCATGATGACTGATTTGCACCCTGAGGAAAAATGCGGGGGAATTTGCCTCAACCTCCCTTCCTCAACCCACCTAGTAAGCATGGGCTGAAAGGACTAAACCCAGTTGATCCAAATTACATCCATGGTTAAAACCTACTAAGCAGGCCAACCCAAGAAGTCCAATCAATAGGCCAAGCCAAGGCAGTTTGGGTTGGTCGCCTTTTGGGTCGCTCTTAAAGTTGACGACCACAGGCAAACCACCCTTGGTTTCTTTGAGGGTCCGATTGCTTCGAGTGACACACCCGACGTGCCCCCGGGATCCGCCTCCAAGCCTTTCACGGCGCCAAGGTCCGGGAAATGGCAACTCAGTGGCCAGTCCCCACGTACCTGCGGCTGGCCCAGTCTGGTCGCGCAAAATGCTCCACAGATTGCTCCGAGGTTTGTCCAGATTTGAAAGGTTAGAAGAAGGGTACCCACTTGTTTTTCTGTAGTCTATTCTAGTAGGGGAACCCTCCCCCAAAAAAATGTAAAAGGGCACTACTGGGGGGACCTAGGCTATGCAAAGTGCATAGCAACAAAATGCAAACAAGCAGTGACAGCAACATCATGTCAAGCATGTCATACTTGCTTCTGAATGTTCACTTGCAAGCAGCAAAGCCAGGCAAGGTCCTTGCGCTGATGGTTTGACTGCAAGTCAAGAAGGCAGCTCATACTTGGCATGGCCGTGGCCGATGCAGTCATGCCTTGGAGCCAATGATGCCCATCTGAAGGCATTTGGTGGTGCAGGATCATGCGGAGCAAACACCCCTATGGATACCAAGCTGCGCCGGGTGTGCATGCTAGGGACATCCAACATGTTGGATCTGCCTTCCCCCGCAACGCCACACACCATCCATGCCTCAAATACCCACAGCCCCTGCGAATTCGGAAACCTGGCTTGGAAACTTGGAACAACCAAAAAACCCAAAGTCATTTTCTCGACCTTCAGAAACAGAGCGCACCAGCGAGGCGGGAGCTGCCAAATCCGGGCCGATGTGACAGGAGAAGCGGTGTGGAAACATCTGCACGTAGTCCTGAAGGCCTGGCCACACGTGCGGCCGGGATGTTGAGACAACTTGGGCTCTGGCTCTCTAGGCTCAATTCCTGTTTGCGGGACAGCTTGGATCCAGGAGAATTGGCCTCGTTTCTGGCGCGACCCCATGTGCCAAACTTGCCCAAGCCCAAGGGGAAAATGGTAGTAAATTGGTCCAACACAATGATATCGATTTCCTTCCTGCCCCTGGTTCCAGTGAAACAGCGTGCTGGCCTGTACCGGCTGAGCGATGCTAAGGTACTGCTTGCCAGTCCATAAGCTTTCATGGGAGGTCACAAAGGGTCCCTCTGGAAGCAATGTTTTGCAATGTGAGCTCTGGCACTTTGCTGCGGGCTACGGTCCAGAAAATAGAAGAGACAAGTTGCATGTACAGTGCTGTGGAACCATGCAAAGGTAGTTGTGGCAACCTCTTCGCACCGCATTCGATCCAAGATGGGCAGGGTACTCAAAGCATCTCCCAGCACAACTGGCATCAAGAAGGGGTACGCAATGCCGCATGCCACCTCTGCGATCTTATCCGCAAGTTGCGCAACGCGTGCGCAGCTTGCCAGCCAGGGCAAAAAGCGAAACCCTCGCGGATCGCCCCACCTTCTCCTCTGAAACGCAGCTGCACGTCCTGAAGGCGACCGCTGATGCCAACGGGAGCTGAAGTCTGAGGTGTGGTAGTCTTTCCGAAGGATTGTGATAGACAAGGAACCCTTTTTCGTGCCGGCCATAGAGGAGAACCCACCGGAAAAAAAAGGAGAAAAAAAAAGGTGCCACTGAACTGGGGCCCAGAGCGAATCGGCAGGGATTCAACTTGGTGTAAAACGCTTAGAACGCTTTTTAGCCGCGTGCATACGACACACACGCACACACCAACACGCACACACACACACACAGGCACGCAGGCACCCACCCACCCACCCACCCACCCACCCAGGCACCCACGCAGGCACCCTTAAGGCACCCTTGCAGGCACCCACGCAGGCATGCACGCACACAAACCACAGAAACCACGCACTCCGCACAACACACCACACGCCACACGCCACACACACACAACACAAACAACAAGGGTTGGGCGCGGACTCTCAAAAAAATCATCTGGTGTTGTGCCGCATGCGATCATTGTTACAAAGCTAGTTGCAGGGAGTCTAGATCACCTTCTGAGAACCAGCTTGATCCCTGACGCGCATGGGCTGAAACGAGCACATGTCGTATCCAGCTGTTCGCTTGAATCTGCTGGCGCTCTAACTACAATCGAATGCGCAGAACAATTTGACACCTGAAAAAGTTCTGACTGTTGCAAAAGCAGGTTCCATTCAAAAGTACTGTGCATGACGCTCAGCATGTGCGCAACACTCCACCAAAACCTCTCAGAGGTCTCGTCCTGCATGGGTTCCGTACCCGCATGACTGCTTTATGCAATATGTCCTGACATTCGAAATTGTATAAGCCTGAAACAGGGAATCTCAAGGTTTTGTCCTTCACGCGTGAAGCTCGTCATCAAATGAAACTTCCGAATGGTAACACCACCGCCCCGACAATTGGTGGCCAAATGCAATTGCGCCAAGCTTGGCAAACCATTCATCCAGTGCTGAGCGGGTCTGTGAGCAAGTAAGTGAAAAAAGGATGGAATGGCGCCACCGCTTTGACAATTGGTGGCCAAATGCAACTGCGCCAAACTTGGAAGAACTAACAAACTTTATGGGATCCTCCTTCGCAACAGGTCCATGGGCAACTGAGAGTCCAGCTGTCCTCAGCAAACGCCTCTCTGGGCGTCATCCGCAAGTCCCCAAGAGCTGGCAGGGAGGGCAACAACCTCAGTCTGCTGAAACCTCTTCATACTGATGAGGATGATGAGGATGAGGATGATGATGATGAAAATGAGGATGATGATGAGGATGAGGATGATGATGTTGATGAGGATGAGGATGAGGATGAGGATGACGATGAGGATGAGGATGAGGATGAGGATGATGATGATGATGATGATGATGATGATGATGATGATGATGATGATGATGATGATGATGAGGATGAGGATGAGGATGAGGATAAGGATAAGGATGATGATGATGATGATGATGATGATGATGATGATGATGATGATGATGATGATGATGATGAGGATGAGGATGAGGATGAGGATGATGATGATGATGATGATGATGAGGATGAGGATGATGATGAGGATGAGGATGAGGATGAGATGAGGATGATGATGAGGATGAGGATGAGGATGATGAGGATGAGGATGATGATAGAACGAGGATGAGGATGATGGTGGTGATGAGGATGATGATGATGACGATGATGGCTTTTCCAAGTCTGGAGGGCCACAGCTTTGGAATAAGCCCTTGGAAGGTCCCTATCTGTAGCATGGAAGCCGACGCCTGGAAGACAAGTTGCCTCTAAATTTAGACAATTTCTCCGGTGGATTCCATGCTACACATGAGGGACGCTCGCCGTGGGCGCTGCGGAAAGTTGGTTTGCTTGGGACAAATGTAGCCTGTGCAAGTGGCCTTCAGAACTTCAGCATGCAAGCTAGATGCAAAGGTATTTGGTGCTGCTGCTGCTGCTGCTGCTGCTGCTGCTGCTGCTGCTGCTGCTGCTGCAGTTGCATCCAAATCATTACCAAACGTAGCTGTGACATGATAGAATACAAATTGTCAACAGGAAATACGCACACAGCCAAACAAACACACCATCAAACAACAAATAAACATATCACCAAACAAGCGCGCAAGCGAGCACGAACGCACACAAGCACGAACGCAGGCAAGCAAACACAAACAAACAACACTACAAACACACAAACAAACAAACACACAAACAAGCAACACACACACACAATGTCGCAAACACGCACAGGGCCCAAGACCGCTGAGCATCCCCACTGCATGGCGCCGCCGGGCCAACCAGCGGTGCCAGACATCCTGGTTTCAGGTTTTTCGCGCCGGGCGAGAAATTCGAGGCAAGTTGAACACCACTGGCAACAAGACCCAGAAAGGAAGGGTCGCCCAAAAACAGGCCAGGCTTTTGGGCAGGGCCGGAGTTCAACACAGCTTTCCCGAAGTCCCTCCCGGCAGTGGATCTGGAAATTTCTTAGCGGCTCCACCGGATGCGATAGTGCCTTGGTGGTCTGCCGGATGCATGTGGGCTGCGAAGAATCCATCGAAGGCAAGCCCATTGCCATCTCTCAAACTCCAATACTGCAGGCTTCTGATTAATCGATGTCTGGATCTGGATCTGACATGAGAAAGGGAAGCATCGCAAAGCGCGGGGGGTCGCATTCAATAAAATCCCATGCCCTTTGGATTGCAACAAAGTGATCTAAAACCTTGGGGGACCACCCGGGGTGGTCACAACATGTACATAGCGCTTATCTCTGACACAATCCAGGCGATTGTCTTAGAAGGCCCTTTCTGGCCCAATTCTGTGCGGAATAAAAAGGCAAACCAGGAGCGAAAGGACAAACCAAAACAGTGGAGGGGGCAGCACCGCGGGACAATCACAAAGTTAAGCCGTTGAAAGTCAGAGCGCCAACTATGCCAGCATCACTGAAATGACATGGGTGTGGGTCAAAATTAAACTATTAGGGGACCGCAGGTTTTAGCCCATGTTTCCATTTACCAAGGTTCCATTTTGGGGTTACCCTATTTTTGACCCGCAGCCGCATGGCAAGTACCTAAAGTGAACCGCCACGTCGCCGAACCTCGCACCATGCCGGCCGGTCCTCATTCGCAGCTCAACTTCTGGCAGGTGCTTGGGGGTGGCCCTGCAGACCGCACCGCAGCCCGCGCAGTGGGGACCAAAGCTCTGCTCTTCCTGCGGATCCGCCAGATCGAGCTCTGGAAGGGCGGAAACCCGAAACCCGAAGCCCGAAACCCGAAAGCAATGAGGAGGAAAGAACACAGAGCAGCTAGCTAACTCAAACCCCGGTAGCAATGAGCTTCGCAGTCATCCATTCTTGCATCTAGAAACCACTCAGTTGCCCCTACAAAAACAGAAATAAAGGTGAACCTTTTGGCTCATGAGAAAATCAGAAACCAAAACAAGGTACGGGAGACTTCACGGTCAAAAGGTCTGAGACCAGTCAGATGCATGACAAGCACCCCGGGCACGCAGAAGGGACCTCAGCCTCCGATGAAGCTCGAGGATGACAAGCCGTGAGGAGGCCGTGAAAGTGGCTAACAAGACTTAAGAAGGATCCATAAGGCTTCTTCCCCTTCAAGCTGCTTGGCGCAGGGTTCGTGCTTATTCATTTGGGGGGGAGCTTTGGGGGGGTAGCTTTTCTCTTCCTGAAAGTAAGAGAACAAACACAAAAAGCAGAAAACACGCAAGACAAGGCAACTTGGAGAACATCAACAAGAAAAACACGGAACAACGAAAAAGATACGGCTTCGGTGCGTCACCTCACCCTGGTAGCTATGCTGAGGGGCATTGCCCCCTCGCTCATAGATCCTTTCTGTAGAAGGTATCCGGAGAACACAACACGGGTACCAAGCCCAGAATGAGAAAACTAATGTGTATATATGTGTATACACGCATGTATAATTTTTAGCCATGCCTGCGTGCTTACATAAATTCATACGTCCAACTGCGAACACCGCATCTAAAAAGGAGTCCGTTTGGCATCAAACCAACATGGAAAGCCCGTATGAAAAAGGACCAAGCTCTCAGGAAAGGATGGACAGATTTGAGGGCAAAACCTCTGCTCTGCGAATCTCTCTTTGGCTGAATGCATCGCGGAAAGCCGCAATGGCACAAAGCAGCCTGTGCCTAGACTCTTTCAGGCGACCCCCCCCTCCTCCCGCCCCACCCCTTCCCCCCCCCCCCTCCCCTTCCCCCTTCCCCCCTTCCCCCCCTGGGTGGCTTGCCGCAGGTCGCCTTGGTGTGGTTGAAGTGCTCGTCTGGCGGGCCCAGGGCGCAGGAGCCGCCCCCATCGTAGGGGCTCAGCCGCCCGAAGCCCGCCGGCATGCCGCCTCCAAATTTTCATGAGCGCATGCCTGGAAAAAAAATGACCCGCCCTCAGCTTGCCTCGAAAAGGCTGGTTTGGATTGGTGTTGTGGTGGTTGAGGGGGGTTCCCTATCCCTCTACAAAGACCAGGGAACAACAGATCTTCACGTCAATGTCATTGTCATCGAAGGCCTGAGCCTTTTCAACCCTGTGCAGTGGATTCCCTAAGACCTATAAGCTTTTGGCTTTCGCCTTACCATTGCTGCCTGATGGAGCTTCCGGAGGGAAAATCCCACCAAGAACACGGGCAGGACCTAGCAACGCAGTCATGTCTATTCCACGAGAAAAAACAACGTTTCGGTTGATTCCTTGAAACAGCTAGACCTGTTTGATCCCGGGCCTATCAAGATCTCGCTGCGCTCGCGCAGGAATACAGTTCCGGCATGCGGGTCCACCTCAGCTGGTAAGAGGGGTAGCTCCATGTTACACGACTTTTGGCGGAAATGGGAAATAATGCTGCAAATGATTCGAGATCTTGTCAGAATCATCCAGGTTCTAGATTGCACTTGCCCGACAGACTTCCAGTAGCTTGGAGCATGCTGCCAGAAAATGTCACGAGACTTAGCAGGCGCAGAACAAATGACCCCCACACGCAAACACACAAGCAAACACCCACCCACCCACCCACCCACGCACGCACGCACGCACGCACGCACGCACTCACACACACACACACACACACACACACACACACACACACACACACACACACACACACACACACACACACACACACACACACACACACACACACACACACACACACACACACACACACCCACCACCCACCCACCCACCCACCCACACGCACGCACGCACGCACGCGCGCACGCACACCACACACACACACACACACACGCACGCACGCACGCACGCACGCACGCACGCACGCACGCACGCACGCACCCACACACACACACACACACGCACACCCACACCACCCACCCACCCACCCACCCACGCACGCACGCACGCACGCACGCACGCACGCACGCACGCACGCACGCACCCACACACACACACAAACAGCACACACGCGGACGCAAGGAGCTATTACATCTCGCTCCAATAGAAGTCTCAACGTGAAACACAAAACGTACGCGCGGTGCTGTACTCTTGTTGCAGTCTGGTGGTTGTTCTTTCAACAGCACGAGGAGGCAGGGGACGTCAATACAGCAATGTGAAAACGCATGCGTAGGACTCAATGACATCTAGAGATCAGCGATCTTGATATCAGGAAACCTTTGCCGCAAATTGAGGCATAAACTCTGACCAATGGTTCAGCAGAATCTCCTAATGGCGCTTCCTGTAAAACAGCATGCAACCCGGCATCACCTAGTGCCTCTGCGACAAGGTCTTCTATGGGCACGTTCACAAGTAAACACACAACTCCGCCCAATGGGCACACACACCAACCACAACATGTCGCATTCTATGATGTCACAGTAGAAACCCTCACCCCAAGACAAATCCGCCTTGCATTGGCCCAAAGAGTGATGTTTATCCCGCCGTCAGTCATTGCAAACTGCTCAGCTGCCTGCCCCTCTGCTCACTATTTGGTAAACCTCTTCAAATAGAATGATGTTAATTAAACTGCTCTGCACCAGAGCAGCACCTTCAAGCAATCCCATTGGTTGTGCAAAAATCCTTCCGAAAGGGTGTAAGGCTGTAAGCCTTTTTCTGCCCTGGCCCCTGCAACCACGTCCATTCACGGACACGGATGCGCATCTGAAGTGCGCAAATGCCCCCCTTCGGACGGTGCCCTGCCCACACAACAAGCGGGCGGCATTCTGAAGCTGCTCTCCAATCGCCAGCCGCATGTTGGAGGTGGGGTGGTCCCTTGGACAACATCAAAATGGGACACGACCAAGCAACAAGGGCAGCACTTGAGACGCAACTCTGCACGCAATTGCGTGTGCGCATTCGGTTTCGGGCTTGAGGTGTACAAGCTTTCGGAAACCACGAATCGTTTTTTGTGCTTTTCCACAGGCCATGTTTCAAAATGGCGGGTGGCTGCGTGACACGCACTGCCCCATGTGCGGAAAAAGCCTTTGAGTCGTTGAGCGTCATTCATAAGCCCATGTCCTAAATCACTGCAAATGTCGGACGCAACTGTGGGAAGAACTTATCCACTTTTCAAAGCGAAGGAGGCTCGCAGTGGCCGTGGATCGCTTGCCTCGCTCGCATTGGGATAAACGAGTTCGAGCTGCCGCCTGGGGGGGGGCTAGGGAAGCCTCGAACGCGCGCACCTTTCGTTGAATCCAAATACCCTCCTACCGATTCACGTGGAACCTGATCCCGGTTTGGACCATGTTGTTTTGAAGGGACCGCCTCCCGAACGTCGGGTTCCACGTTAATTCTGGGCTCAGATCCCTTTAACTCTTAATGGGCTAAATGGACATCCCCAAACCCTGAAAGGCTAAAAAGCTAAGGAACCAGATGATGGTTGGGAGCCAGAAAGAAGGGCGCCGCCTGTCTGAAGGAGACTGCGCGGGATCTCCGAGCCACACATCCACGATCTGACCCGCAGCAGCGAGGCGGAACAAGACGGAGCCGCCCGCTGGCGCCTCCTGACAGCGGTCGACAGGAGTCAGGGGCCACATCTCATTCAAGGCGTGTTGACCTTCTCGCAACCTCCATCGGCTTAGGCCCCCTGGATATGTTTGTTTGCACCGTAGTGGTAAGCCAACAAGGGAAAATAAACGTATTCACTTCGGCAAATGGAAACCCATGAAACGCAGCTTGCGCAGCTCCTGTGGGATGATGCAGGAGATTGTGGTTTCGTTGTAGTACACAGCTGCAGCGTAGACCGCATAGAGGCCTTCCAGTGGCTTGTCTTCGCCTTAGCTTGAAGACATGCCCAGAAAAGCATGTCTGTGTGTGTGTCCCTGGCCGATTTCCATGTTGCAATCAAACCAACCCCAGGTCCTCCAGTAGAGAGGTTGGAAGAAGGGTAGTCTATTTTAGTAGGGGAACCCTCCCCCAAAAAAAAGGGAAAGGGCACTACTGGGGGATCTAGAACCGCAACACTCCTCGTCCTGCGCGCATCTTTTCGGAACGCATGTTTCCCCATCGGTCGCCAAACAACACATCAGCCAGTTGTGCTTTGAGCATTTCGCATCCTAAATAGTACTCATCGCGCACGCGCGACAATCATGCTTTGCAACTTTGAAACATGGACTGCAGCGAAGTCCTAGTTGGTCCTAGGCGCTGCAGCAAAAGCAGCTACCAAGAATATGTTGCGTTTGTTTCGCTTATATTAGCACACACACGATTTTGTTGATTTGTCAATGAACATACGGTATGTTTCACGAGGCCAAGGAGCTCACATCACAAGGGGCCAGTACATCTGAGATACCGCAAACATCTGCCTTTGGATCCCGCTGGTCATGTCTGAGTAGTCTGAACGTCACACTAGCTGACCCGGGCATATTTTTCTGGTCATCCAGTCAGCACAGTATGACATAAGCTGGCTCCAGCAAAAGCCATATCCCAACAAGATTGATAGACGGATGGCGGAACTCTGCACCATGCAAGTAGTTGTGTGTCCTCCAAATGTGTCGGTTCCATTTGGTCCCAACATCCATAGAACATTTTGAAAGAGGGGGGCCAAAGCTGGCAGCGTTTGCCAGTGCCACGTCGAACTGGCATGTGACTGCAAACCATGCGTCCGGGAATGCCAATCCAAACTGGATTGGGGTGGGAGGCGCCCACAATACGTACAAAATATATCAAAATATGTCCCCCCTTTTTTTGCATAATTCATGGGGAAAGGGCACCGTCACGCCCACCTTTGCGCTTTTCTGCCCATTGCCAGCCACTAGGTACAAACTTCCAGCAAGCCCTCGCACACAAATAGCCGACCCCGGCGATGCAGTGCTGCGATCTATCTGGGTGTCTTTGTTTTAGGCTAACCCCAAAATAGTGGATTTCCTTGTGGCTGCCCTTAAAACAAGCTAAGAAGGGCTACCCTCAAAAGACACACCCATCCGCAAAAAAGAATCATCTGCAGCAGGTTGACCAGTGGCTTACCTTTCATACCAAGGGTGAAAGGCGTGTCTTTTTCTGATGGGACCTTTTTGTTGGTGGTGTGCACATTTTTTTTGGGTGGTGTTTCTACAAAAAGACACATCCAAAGAGTGCAACTCGCCTACCTCAAACTTGAAGAGGGGGTGAACGAAGGCTAGCAACTGTTGTATGAGACGGGTTAGAGGCGCCGAGGCTGCACGCAAACTGACATGGGCAAACCGTGACCGGCTCAAGGGGGGGAGGGTAGACCAAGGGAGATTCGAGCCTGGGAAGGGGGGGAGGAGGGGGGGAGGGTCGAAATAATTGATTCTTGCAATCTTTTTGGCTCGAATTGATATAATCAACCTTTCGGCATTTCAGGCCCTTGCTTGCGCAAGGAGAAACTTCTGCTAGCTAAAGCTAGCTTTCGTGATTTGGGACCGCCATGCAAAGCCGTTTGGGTCGCGGGGCCGAAGATGCAGTCGGCATCCTTGGGCAGGCGCTGGCCCTTCACGTAGAGCAGGCCACCACGCGAGCGCAAAGACATGAGGTCGCTGGACCTGATGGTCGACCAATGCGCGAATCAGCTGGACAGCAGGATTCACCCTTGACTCTGTCCGTTTTCAGATCTTCACACCGTTCAAAGGCAGAGTGTCTCTGGACCAAACCTCCCTCCAGTCAGTGTAACATGAAGGACCAGGAACAAAATGCAATACGACAGCCAATGCGTCCGCCAATGTGGTGTACAATGGCCGGCGACATCACAAGAAAACCATGAGGAATGGTGATCTGATGTCACATAGTGAAATACCTCACTCTTGCCTTCTTAGATGCTCACATGCTCACAGCAAACCATACCCGGCCTTCTCTCGCTCAAATCCAGCATCTGTGCAAATCCGCTTTGCAGGTCTCGCATTGTTTTCTCCCGCGAATGGAGTGTCATAAAGGCGAATGGTGTGCAATGGAATTATCCGTATGCGCTACATGGGTCACGCAGCCTCTCACCACGTCAGTAGAAATGCACTGATCGAAACCTTCGAGGCACCAGCAATCGATGAGGCTGATCGACCCATGTTCTGTGAGCCGCACGGCAACCCTTGCCAAAGCTTTGACTTTCCGCTGGCATGTGAGGAAAACCAGGCGTTCAAGGGGCAGGAACTGACACTGGATCACTGCACACAAGCCGAAAGCCGCCGATGACATTGCAAGAGTGGTCCTTCTGCGATGGACCCGCCGTCCCGAAAAAGGCCTGCGATTGAAAGTTGCCATGTTCGCAGGTCCCATGCCTGTATATGCGCCCGTTCGCCTCATACTTTTCCCAAAACTCCAGCAACATACCATCCCTCAGGCTTCTCCGAACCAACGGACAAAAGTCGGCTCAGTGTATACCACTTGCTCTTTTTTTTCAGCGCTGCTTATTTTCCCAAAGGCAAGCAAAGCACCGCTTCACGAATTTTTCGGTGGGTTTCTGGGAGCGCCGCGCGGCTTGCGGCTCTCAGAGGCCTCACTTGGACCAGGTGCCGTTGCCCAGGCCACCCGTGCGAGGCATCGCCATGGGGGGCCCCCCCAGGAAGACCGCGGGGCCCGCGTAGCGGCGGATGAAGCCCCCCCACTTGCCTGGCACCGGGGGATTCTTTGGCACTGAGGGGCCGTGGAAGTGAGTCATAAAATCAAAACCCGGGACAAGCATGGTTCACCCAGAGCCGTGCTTCAAGAATTAAGAAGGCGGCCGCAGCTATTTATGGTTGGGATCGTGGTTTGGATTGTGACGCACGTGCTCCAGAGCTGCCAGGCTCAACTCTGGCACAGCGCCGAACAGAACTCCACCACCTTTGAGCAAAACAAGAACCTCAAGATATCGTTCGGCAACGGCCCGAGTCCTACGGAGCATCCCTTGCACGAGAAGCCCAGAAGCCCTCTGAACAGGAACATGTGCTGAACAAAACTGGCCTGAGAAAGGCATGCACCCGCTGAAGCTATGAGATCCGGAAGTACCAAGCCGTTGCGCATCACCGATGTAATTGTGCTATCCTGTCTGGACCCCTGGCTTTAGCACAGCCCGAGCTATGCCGAGCTCACAGCGTGAAATCAGCTCCTGCCGAGCACACCCGCATTCTCACAAACACCCGCAGAGTGATTTGAATATCTCGCCGTGCCCCTTCCGACCAAAGCGACCTCAACCACGGCAAACTATCATCCCAGGCTCTCACATCAAGCTACGGTGAACTCCTTTTCAATCAGGAAGCGAAACAAACACAGGAAGCATACTTGCACTGTCATGGCTTCACTCGCTGCTTCTGGGGTGGAGGTGTTTTTTACTAACCCTGGTTTTTTTCCTAACCCTGTCATTGGTGGGTTGGTTGGTCGGTTGGTTGGCTGGCTGGCCGCATCCCCGGCATCACCAACATCACTTGGACCTGGGGTTGCCTATTGGCTCTGATGGGGTGGCAGTTGGGAGTTGCTGGGGGCTGGTTTAAGTTAGGGGGGTTTTGGCTGGCTTAGATCTTCATGAGGGTGGGTCTTGGGGTGGTTTGGAGTTGATTTAGGCGAAGCGAAGGGCTGACATCCAGGCTGCTGTTGGGCGGGTTTAGGGTTGACTTTGAGTGGGTTTGGGGTGGCTTGGAGCTGATTTGGTTAATAGAGTTCTGGTCTACTTTTGGTAACCACACCCTAAAGCAACTCTAAAGCCGCTGCTAAACCAGCAGCACGCCTAACACAAATCAGCTCCAAGCCACCCCCAACCCACTCAAAGTCAACCCTAAACCCGCCCAACAGCAGCCTGGATGTCAGCCCTTCGCTTCGCCTAAATCAACCCCAAACCACCCCAAGACCCACCCTCATGAAGGTCTAAGCCAGCCAAAACCCCCCTAACTTAAACCAGCCCCCAGCAACTCCCAACTGCCCCATCAGAGCCAATAGGCAACCCCAGGTCCAAGTGATGTTGCTAATGTCGGGGATGCGGCCAGCCAGCCAGCCAGCCAGCCAGCCAACCAACAAACCCACCCACTCACCAACCAACCAACCAACCAACCAGGACTAGGGCTAGGAAAAAAAACACAATCTCCAGCTTCTGGCCTGTGACCAAATGACACACTGATTGATCCGCTGTCTCAAAGACTCGACTTTTAAAGTTTGTCTTCGATTTGCCTTGCCCACTCACAGTGGCGACGAGACAAGTCGCAAAAAATCGTCAAGTCTTTGAACGGTAGAAAAGTACTTCCAGGGACAAGTGCCATAGAATCTCCGGTAGGAGGCGAGCCTCCTGCAACTCAAGTTCTTTTGCGGTGGTGCGGGGCAAGGTCAAGATCACTTGCTCAAAGGATATGGGAGTCGTTGTTGGGTCCATCAGGTCTTTGTGAGAAATTTGGAGCTCGTCCCACATGTCCCTCCCAACTGACAACAGACTGGTCATATTCACCGAAGCTCGTGCGAAAATGGCCTTTGGGATTCGGGGGTCTTTCATTTGCTTAAGACCCCTGGAAACAAAATATGAAAACATAAATCCAGTAGTGATATCGATTCCCTTCAAAACCAACAGGGATTTTGTTATGTTTCTTTTTTTAAGCAAAGAAAGAAAAATAAAAAGAACAAAAACTCTTAAGCAAATGGAAGGGGCTCCGGAGCCCAGCCTTTGAAGCTCTTCCCCGTAAGCTTGCTGAAGACAGACTTCACGTACTGCTTCCGCGCAGAGATGGAGACAGCTCCGCCCGCGCACTGCGCCTGCAAAGACAGCTGGCGCTGAGCGCCAAGCACCCCCTTTGCTACCCCCACTTTGTCGATGATATAAAACAAGAGTTCAGAACAGTGCGCACAGGTCTACCAGCAGGTGCGGGGAAAAAGAAACACCACTCATGCCAGCCTATGCCGGAGGCTACAAAACTGCCAGTACTTGTTTGGAACCGTCTTCCTGGCACCGGGCTCAGAGATGCTTCTTCAGAATAGTCACACTAGCTTGTGGCACACTAGCTTGTGGCCGCTGTGTAGCCCTCAAACCGACATGCCACGAGCTCTGGCACAAGGTAAACCAGCCACACCCCTGGCAGCTTGTTGAACATAAGCCCAATTTCAACCACCAAAGAGTAAGCCAGGCAACCACTTGGTCAAGCAATATCAAATTCAGGCAGGCAAAGGCCCCCAGTCCAGAGCTGGTTGGGGATACTTACCCTCGGTTGCTCTCTGCTCCCCTGCGAAATGTTGTTTTTAACTCCACACCTCGCGGTTTAATTGGAAAACCCATTTGGCAAAAAGTGGTTCACTCCCAACATCCCTTGGCATGCAAAGAACCTTACTCCAAAGCAAACAGAGGGCTAAAGGAAGGAACCCCAGGAAACCGAGATGCTCCAGATTTGAGAGGTTAGAATAAGGGTGCCCCCGACTTTTTCTGTGGTCTAGTTTGGTAGGGGAACCCTCCCAACCAAAAAAAAAGAAGTAAAAGGGGCACTACTGGGGGACCTAGAAAGTAACAAAACCAAGAAAAAAAAGAACACACAACAACAGGGCAGCCACACAGAGTCTTACCGGCACAGGCATGGACATCGCCCCACGCCTTCTTCAGATCCTTGAGGTCCTTGAGCGTGAGGTTGAGGCAGTCGGCACGGAACATGTGCTTGGCCAACGAGTTCCGGTCCTCCAAGTTCTTGGGGTTCACCACCTGAAAGACCGAGAGACACCTCCAGAACCCCAGGTGTGACCTTTATTTACCCCTTAAGACTCCAAGGTTTGGGGAAGTTAATCTTTTACAGACATATAGCCCATGTTACCCAAAAAGTTGAAAAGTTGTGTGTTTAAGAGGTAAGCAGAGAAACACCTCCGGAACACGCGTGGCCTTTCGGAAAGGGGGGGAGAGGTGGGGAGCCTTGGGCGCCAAAGCGGCTTTCTTTCCAGGATCAAAACGCGGGAGTCCCAAGTCCCATCAAGTAGGATGGCCACAAATCCGTCAAGACTTGCAATTTGCATTAGCTGGCTCAAAGTCGAAGCCACGTGACCTAAGGTCAACAATCTCACTTGTGCAACCTTAAAGTGTTGTGGCCACCAACCATGCTAGGAGAAAGCGAAACGCCCAAGGCCGGCCAGATCTTACATGCTGTTTTTTTTTTTCCCAGGCGAAGCTGCGAAGGTGGTGGTGCCGTTCGCCAGCATCTCGGAGACGATGATGTTCTTCTTCACGGTCAGGCAAACCACGTAGAAGTGGGGCTGGCTGCCTGAAGCCTCCGCTGGCTCGAGGAAGACCTTGATCTCCTGATCGTTCGGGGTCGTTTTTAGACCCCAGCGGTGTGCTTTCGGCTTCCCTTCAAGCCCAAAAAGGGGGCACACCCATCTCAATTCAGGGGTCACTTTTTGACCCCCCCGCCCCCCCCTCCCCCAAAAAAAAAAGAAAAAAAAAGCCGGGTGTGCTTTCGGCTTCCCTTTAAGCACAAAAACGGGGGCAACTCCTCAAAACAACACCCACCAACCCATCTGAATTCAGCTTCCCTCGAAAGGGGTCGTTGGGAGTCTGGTGGTTTCGAGGCGTTTAGGGTTTCCCATTTGCCCTCAACAAGAACCAGGGGTGCAGCTCCTCCACCAATCCAAAACCAATTGGAGGTAACCTGATGAATATAGGGCTCGGAGCACAGGGACAAATAATAGCACGCATGCGAATGAAGCTGCCATCAAACTGAAAGCCAAATGCTCAAGATCGAGGGCAAATCCATTGAGGGCAGGCCACCCTGCTGGAGGAAAAGTGATTCGGACAATGGCGGAAGTGCGTGAATCTCCAAACAACTTTGGAAGCAGATCACGGCTAAGGGGGAAAGGAGGAAGAGCGTTGGAAGACGCAATTCAATTGGAGGCTGTATGGTCAGTCCGGATGGGCGGCACGCAACATCGTTTGAAGTAAGTACATTTATTCTCGAGTCGGAACGTTCTTGTCAGTGGGTAAAAGCATGATTAGAGCCGTTGGAAGGCTTCCAGGTCATCAAATCGCGAAACTACCTCGTTACCACACACGTTCGCCAACATGAAGTGTCTCCATTTTGACCAAGTGCCATGTTGTAACACGTCCTCGTGAGGCTTTCTGATTCATCATGTCAATTCAACTTCCACCTGGCATTGTTCGCCCTCAGTGCGCACACTGGCTACTGGTCAAACCCGGGCGGCAGAGAAACAAAACATGCAGGCACCTTGGCAAACCCTTTGTCCGTTCAGTCGATCTTCCATATCTACATCTTTCTCAAGTTCGCCCGCCACAATCTCTGCAGCCGGCTTTGGCAAACGAGAAGCTTTGCCAGCCATTGCTCTCAAGCCAATGACTCTTCGGTAAACGCACGCGCACACAACAACTCCACAAACCCAGCTCTCATGAACATGTGAAGCCAATTAACCTCCAAAAACCAAAGGGGCGGGGCAAGCAAAAAGGCTGAAAGATCCAAACATGCGAATCGGACTCGCGCGGGGGAGTTGAGGAAGGTCCTCCAGCCTCTCGTGCTCCGGCAAATCCGCGGAGGAGGACATCACGAGACTTGTTCCGGCGGCCTTGCCCGAGTACACGACGCCCACCTGGGGAGATGAACCAAGGAGCCTGGCAACTAACGCATGCGGCATGCGACCCCTGAGACACTCAATGTTGAGCTGAAGGCAGTAAACTTGACCCCACGGACCCAACAAATGATTCTGGTTCAACGTTTAGACCTTAAATATCCTTAAATTTGAAAACAAACCTGTTTGGTCCTCACCCGCGTTCAGGATTGGGTGACATGCGCCTTCTCTTCCTTGTCCTTCTCCTGCGTGGTGCGAATCTCCAAGCTGCCAATGTGATAGATGCCTCAGCAAAAAGGAACAAGGACCCTTGCGCCACGCTCTGGCTGCCCATGGCCAACGTTATCAAAGCCCTCCCCCCCCCAAAAAAATATATACAATAAAATAAAACTGGGTTATTCTTACTAAAGGAACCCTCTTTTGGTGGGTTTTAGAAGGAAGGAACACTCGCACAAAAGAGACGCACCCACTTGGGGAAGCAAAGTGGGGGGATGTCTTAAGTTAGCCAAACCAGCAAGATCACAACACGACATCTGTTAGCAGCTGCATTAAAATCATTGAGTGCATGAGGGTAGCTCCATGGAGAGTACACAAACCATACTGGGACGCCGGCAAACGATGCCCATTGACCCAACAGAGCGCAGGGATCTATACCAACCAATACACTTAACACCACCATCCTGCCATCACAGTGTGGATCCGACAAAATCCTGGAACAGTTGGGAACTATTAGCTGGTTTTCGCACCGGGCTTCATCCATACCAACTTGCGCAGGGCTTCGCACATGCACCAAAAATGGCCCATCCATCCCACAGCTCCCTGCGAGCGAAGCCGTTTCTTTGTTGCTTTCTGCTCCCCGGCTCAAAGTGAATAACTTTTAGTGGTTTAATACGGAAAACCCCTTGGTTGGCAAAAAGTTGCTCGGTCCGAACATCAAAATGCACGTAAGGTTTTCTGTTTTCGGCCCAGGGGGCGGAAGATGGTGCCATCCTCCGTGGACTTTTGGAACTCGGGCGCCGCAGCGGGCAGGACTTCATTCACCAACTTCGCCGCGAAGGTGCTGTCCACCTCCACCTAGGGACGACCCGAAAGCGGTTCTCAGCAGATGACTTGGCTGGAACTAGGACCCCAGCAGAAAAAACGAGCTGGTTAGTGGAAAACAAAGGGGACCCAACAAAAAGCAAACAATAAAAAGGGGAACTAATTCTGGGGAAGATGAGTGGGACCGACCTCAAACCGAATATTCTCTTGTGGTTTGGGGATGCCTACGGCTCATTCAAAAACCTCTCTTGATACCCTACTGGAATTTTCCAAGGATATTTGTGGCAGCTAAGCTGATTCAACGTGTATGGCGTGGAATCCGCACTTGAGCCTTGAAGCAAAGACTTTGCTTCAAGCCCACTTCGAGTGAGAATTTACTTCGCAAGCTCTTGGCCTTTGAAGGGCCTTGTCGCCCCAAGATGCCTCAGGAATCCTACTACCCAGGTCTGGTCACTTTGGACTGTTGCGAAAAAAAAAGGCTATACTTTCCAGTGACGAAGTTCGGTTCCGATGGCAAAGAAGGTGACTAATATGGGCAGCCATTACGCACTCCTGGAAACGAAACCGAAACACCGCTGTGCTTACTTGAATCGGAACTGGCCAACCTCCACTGACCGACTTGCTACATGAATCTCTGCTTGTGCAAACGCGCGCCTGCAGTGTTGTTTGCCTTCGATTGGAATGGATGGGTGGGTTTCTCGGAAGCCGCCACCAACTCAAGAAAAATCCACCGACTCCCCTACAAATTAACCTCCAACCCAGAAAGGGAGTCCCCAAAAAAACGGGCTTCTCTAGAGTCTTGTTTTGTTGAGTTCCATGTTAGCCTGCTTTGTATTTCCCACGTCGTTCCCCTCAGCCCGCCTTGTTCAGTCCCGTAGGGCTCACCCCCGGCTTGGCCGCGTGCCCGTCCTTCTCGATCTGAAATCGCGAGGTCCAAGACCTCGCCATGCGGCGCAACCCACCCGCGCCCGCCATGCGGCGACAAGCCATGTGAATATCACCCATCCCCATTTGTTTGAGGACAAACCCGGGTCAAGTCAGTCAGCAAACCACAATGTTACTGCTTAATATCATGCCAGGCACCGCTCATTAGCTTAAGGGCAGATCCAACAATTGATTGGAACATAGGTCTACCATGCATGGTCATTGAGATTACTGGGAACATGCCTGGGACGTGCTACTTGCATAATTGATATGTAGAACTCGCGCAAACACAAATTGACAGGCAAGACACGCTCCCTAGCGCCTGACAGGGCCTATGCCTTAAACAAACAGACTCGGAAAACATCATACCTACTGGTCACTCAAGTTCCACTTGAAGCACAAACACTTTCTGACCAGCATTTTGAAGTGGCGACAGCCCACCACCTACTGGCACGCGTAGCAGGCGCCTGGGGAAGTCTTGTCCGGCGTTACCCACGATGAAGCCCTTGTCGCAGAAGCGCAACTTACGGCGCTCCAGCAATGACTTCTCCTAGCGAGCAACTTCTTAGCAAGGATGCAAGGCCCAACAGCCTAGCTTTGTTGGGAAAGCTCTGCTGCTCACAAATCAAGCACGAAAGCCCTACAAGGGAATGCACCCCCTCGCCACAAACACCAAAAACACTGGCCACTGACAAGCTACGTATCAAGGGCTTGACTCAAATGAAGCTCGCCCAATAAAATATTGAATCTAGATGTGCCTTAACCCTTCAACACATCGCCGAATCGGCTGCTGTGTGCCGCTGGGTCAAAACCAAGGACTCATCCCCAGCGGTGACAAACAGTTTTCAAGGAATCCATTTTTTCCACCAGGCTCGCTGGTGTCCAAAAGGATGGCAAGCGCCCAGCACATTCACAGATTCGCAGCATTGACCCCACCGCAAAAAAGAAGAACAGAAAACAAGATTGGGCGTCAACCAAAAACCATGGTACAGGCTGTCAGGGGCCCGGGGCCCGTGCAGCTCCTCATGCACCATGCTGCGCAGCCGAGAGGTGTACTCCATGTTGGGGTCCGGGGGGATGAAGGAATTGCCCTCTTCCGTGCGGTCGCACTGTGGCGACTGGAAAACCTGCAGAACCAGCGGGCGCCCACTGAGTCGAATCAAAACCCCGGTCTTTGATTGCGGCTCAGTTGCAGCCTCACGGAAAATCATACTGGCATCTTCGACGTGCCTCTCTGATGGCAGTCGTCCAAACACTTTCTGTCTTCATGAATTTTAGTGTGTGTGTATTTTGGCGTGAGCTGTTTCACCACTGTGATGTCTTCTGAAAGTGCACCATCTTCAGCCTGCAAACAGTTCCATAACAAATCCAAACAAAGAAACAACATCATGCAGCCCGCCAACCAGCTGATGTGTTGCAGCTCTCTACTTGGTCTTTCTGAATGTTGATCGCCTCTTAGACGTTTGCTCGTTCCATCCTCTTGTGTTTGCCTTCCCTTCGTTCCACACTTCCCGTCATTGCTACAAAGGTCCTGAAGAGCACACATGTTGGTTCAGGGAAACAGTGAAGCTCCGAATACCGATTTCTACCTTTGCGGGTCGGTCATTGAAGGGAACGACTCCCCACTGTCTGACATTCAGTCCAGTGAGAAACATGGAAGTGGAACCCTCAGACATGAACAGTGGCTCCACCCCACCGGCACGACAAACTACCAAGCAAGGTTGCCGCAGGTTGACAATTGAAATTCACCCACAAAAGCGACGAGGAAAACATCTGCCAGGAAAAAAGAGGCTTATAAACAACAACCAAAAAACCATGGGAACCAAATTGGCTTTAGGACCAACCAAAACCTCTTGAGGCTCCAACAAGGGGCCTTTTTGTGAGGGCCGAGTTGGGGATTTTTCCCCCCCTCGCCTTCACCAAGATCTCGCGGTGCTCCGGCTTCAGGTCGAGTCCCTGCTGCAGGCTCCGCAGGAAGGCGCGGCCCAAGGTGACCCGTGCCGCCGCGCTGTCGGGAGCAGCGCTGTGGGGGGCCAAGTTGGTGAAGCGGTCCACGCGGCTCAGGTCGAACTTGTCCAGGTTGAGATCCACACCTGCGGGTATGGGCGAAAATTTTAAACCACCAGACCGCAGGTTTTTTGATCCTTGGTTCCATTTACCAGGGCAACCCATTTTGGGGTTACCCTATTTTTGACCCACACCCATATTGTCTATTGTCTTTGGGGGGTTTGGCGTTTCGTTTTTGCGTGAATTGGCCAGAGAGTGTGGGCTTGGGCTGCAGGTTGGTTGTTGGATTGACAGATTGACCGCGGTTGCCTTGTTGGATGCTGTGCTGTTTTGTTGTGTGGGGTGTGTGGGGTGTGTGGGGGGGAGGGAAGGGGGGTGGCATCGATTACGGCAGAAAAGGACGCACGTACCAGGCAAACAAGGGCCATTGGCGTGTACAGCTTTAATACAGACCCCGCCTAGAGTGGATAGACACAAAACACAAAGACCACAATGAAAGGAGCAAACTCGGAAGCCATCACTAGATCTGATCTAGTCAGCAAGCGCAATGTTTAGCGCCATAACCTTTTGTTCGACGTCACTAGCAATATTCGCTAGCAATTTGGCTAAGTGTCCAACGACTCGCCTACTGGGCTGTGGAAGTTTCGTGCATGGACCAGGATGCCACAGCCCAGTTTGCACAAAGTGCACTTTGAAACGTCATGCTGTAGGCAGCTCTCACTTCCCCAGTGGATGGCCCAAACAAATCAAGACTTTATATTTACCAACAAAATGGTCTGGGATGTATAAAAAGTCCAGGAACTCATGAAGTGAGAGCTTTTCAGCCCTCTTTCCTCCCCTCCCCCTCGCTGAACAACGCCTTGGGGCATCTCGGCACGCTGGCCCAGCTGGAAGCGCTGGGGCATGAACCTTGGTTTGACCCCCCTGCAAAAAGTTTGACTTGTTGGGGGGTTTAATGGAAAACACCTTTATTTAAAGTCTAAAGATCCAACCCAATAGCAGTCAAGGAACATGGGCCGACCCGACTGGCCCAGCTGCATCCCCGTCTGGCCCTGCAGCGCATGGCGCTGCGCCAGCTCGAAGCGGTCCAAACCGAACTCCACGCCGCCGTAGATGGCCTGCAGGTTCTTCTGGCCTCGGAGGGCGGGGGGGTGGGGTGGTTGGGTGGGTGGGTGGAGTGGGGTGGGTGGGGTGGGTGGGGTGGGTAGGGTGGGTGGGGTGGGTGGGGTGGGTGGGGTGGGTGGGTTGCTTCATTGGCTGGGTCGGGTTGGGTTGGGTTGACTGATGAATTTGAACTTGGATCCTTTGGTGGACGGACATGCACAGCTTCGCACACCCCAAGCGAGATCGGCCAGGGTGATGTTGACAGGGTTGACAAAAGGGAATAAGCTCTTCGCAAGCGCCAGAAGGGCGTGTCTTCCAAACCCAACTGATCCGTCCAACAAAAAATGCGGCAAGCCCAAGGCTGATGGTAATATGCTTGCTACCCCAAGGTTGCCATGCTCAGCCAGCCTTTTTACCTGATCGGCAAATGAGTCACAATCAAAACCTGGTACTAAAATGGTCTACCCAGAACCATGTAAGGAATTGAGAAGGCGGCCGCAGCTATTTATGGTTGGGATTGTCCCTTTCCAACTTGCATCTGCCCGGGTTTGATTGTGGCTCCAATGGTTGGCCGGGCACCGCCAGTGAACATGTCGATGAGGCGGCCGTTCTTGAGCTGGATCCGGGAGTTGCCACGCATGTTCCTTGGCTCGCATCCCCTTGGTACAACACATAGGGTGTTGACCTCTTCTACCTGCAACAGGTGTTGCAGGTAATCGTTGATGGCAGGCGGTCGGATTTTGGTTGATGGGCCAGGTTATCCAATCAACTGATATTGCAAGTCAGCGCGGGCCCGAACAATAGGCAGAGTTCACCGCGCAACCTCCGTTTCAGTGTCGAGCCGTAAGTTTGGACGCCTTCCATGGCGGTGGGTGGCTTTCCAGAGGGCGCCTAGAGAATCTCCAGTCAAGAACGGATGGAACGCGCGCAACATCTTTGACAACATACCCTCTTTCCAACAATCATGGAAGTGGACAAAGGGGTTGCCCAAAAGGAAAATAGTCTTCCAAAACCCTCCTGTCAGCTTCCATGATTGTTGGAGGGAGGGTACCCAGCTGGTGCAAGTCAAGGTGGCTCCCGCTCACTTCCCCAACCGGCCAATTGGGTTCGCCTCACCCTAAAACCCAGTCGCGCAAAGTGGAGGTAGCCCGTCCACCGGGTTTTCGGGTTTTGGGGTCAGAGGCTCCAGAGCTGAGGGATCTCCGGATGGGCCTCCTTCTTGGTGGACTTCACGATCTCGTCCGCCATCTTGTACCACTGGGGGTCCAAACCTCGGGAGTGCCCACGGCTGTCTGACCGTCTGAGCCCCGGGGCCTCCCGTTGCCACGCGTCGAGGCAGATGGGAGCCCTATCGCGAACGGCGAAGAGGAGAAATCACCCCTATCGAGCGAGATAGTGGTTCGAGATAGCTTCAGTACTCCGCAAATGGAACCACTCCACTGAAATCACTCCGCAACTGGAATCCGGTGGTTTGAAAAGTGTCGAAACGCACTGGTTCCGCTAGGTGCGAGCTGGAGATTTTTTGACTAAGCCAGGGAAACCGAGGCATGATCCCCTGTGCGGGCCTTCCCTTTTGCTGTTGACCCCCCTCCAAAAAGTTTAACTGTTTGGGGGTTTCGTGGAAACGCACTGATTTCCCCAAAAGCTTAGGTCTAAAGATCCAACCCAATAATTGCAGTCAAGGAAATACGCCCAATCCCAAGGGCATAAGGGGGGGGGCTCTACCCACACTCTAGTTACATCCAACCCACGGGCCCACATGGCAACCACAAGTTTGCAGCCGGCTGAAAGGCTTGAAGGAAAACAATGGCATTGTGCCCATAAACACTCCCGCATGCTGTCGAAGTCCCGCCACACTGGCTATCCTCGGAACATTTGATCTGGAAAGCAACACACACTGTTCACCAGTTGCCAAGCAATATCTTCTGCCTTCCCTACCCTGCCAAGAATCAAGGGTCAAAAAAGGACCATTCAGAGTAAGCAACCCAAGAAGGGGTCCAATTCAAGTCGACATCCTTTCTTCCTTCCTTCCTTCCTTCCTTCCTTCCTCCCTCCCTCCCTCCCTCCCTCCCTCCCTCCCTCCCGCTTCCCTTTTTTGGCTTCCCTCCTTCCCTTTCCATCCATTCCCACCCTTTCGACCGAATCCCGAGTCCATCGCCCATCGACTCTCGGATCGGATCGGATGCTCGAGGCGCGGATCTTGGAGTCCACGAGGTACTTGGCCATCACCGAGGCCTTGGCCAACTCCCTGAGGTGGAAGACCACGCTCTTCCGCTCCTGACGGACGGTTATTGTGGGGATAGTGGTTGAAATCCAAATCCACGTAACTGCTAAAAATATGTTGTTTGCCCCCCTTCCAACGTCAATCATGCTATCGGACGGACTGAAACCATAGGAAACCACCAAGGAAACCAAAAAGGAGTACCCAAGAAAGCGGAGAAGCTACGAGCCTCAGGCAGATTGGGGAAAAAAAACACTCACACACAACCAGCTTTTGGAGAAAGGGGATTGCTTTTTAGGTTCCATGCGTTTTTTGCAGGGGGATCAGGGGGTCAATCGGGCTCAACCACCGGGTGCAACCGGGATATATGAAGTAGGGCTGGCTTGCGTTGGGTCTTGGCGTGGCTCAGAACTAGTTTGCAGCGGAATTGACACTGTTTAGGCCGCATGCAGGGCGCTTTTGCTACTCATGGAGCCCAGGAAACCATAAGACAGGGACCCTCATGCCATACAAAATTCCTCCCCCGGCTCACGTTGAGTGTGTCTGTTGTTTCTGGCGTAGGGAAAAAGGTGAGGCAATGGGTTCTTAAATTGAGAATCGCCCCTCGGTCATTCGCTCTCGGTGTGGACCTCTCACAGCTCTTTCTCCGAGGGGCTGCGATAAGATCAAAGTGGCGGCTGAAGGCATCCGCAAACTTCTTCAGGGGGTGGTTGGATGTGGTGACTGGCGCATCCTCCAATCCTTTCCTCAGGTTCCAATAATTCCCCTTACATCAGTCACCATGCCAGAAGGAAACTCGAAGAAACAAAAAACAGAACCGCCATGCCAGAAGGAAAGTCGAAAAAGCATGCAGAACAGGTGCCGTGAACCAAAAAAGGATTGAAGCGCCACACGAACACACGCGCGCACACACACACACACACACACACAAACAAACGCGCAAACACACAAACAAACAAAAAGAAGAAACAAAAAACAAAAAACCTGCCCCATGGCGGCAAAGAAACACGAACGGCACACACAGAAACACACAGCATACCATTCCAAACCGTGCAGAAAAGAGAGCTGCATCACTTTATTGACCCGACTCCAATCCAGCTCAGCCCACGCTCATGTGCGCGCACACACACACATGTACCAAGGCAGTTGCATGCACACAGGCAGGCACATAAACAATCTCAAACAAACCGCACGCGCAAAACACACACACACACACACACACTTACTTTGTACGATCCACCGAATGGATTAGCAAACAAAAGAGGCAGGAACTGAAGCAAGCGCATTTTTACCACCAGAAACCTCCCCCAACCGCCCCCCCCCCCACAAAAAAAAAAACACAGGATAACAAGGCGAATTGGTCCCTTCTCAGAAACTAAGACTTCTCCAACTAGATCCTCCAGTAGAGAGGTTAGAAGAAGGGTACCAACTTTTTTCTGTAGTCTATTCTAGCAGGGCAACCCACACAAAAAAAGGGGGTGAGAAAGGGCACCTCGCCAAGGAGCTTGGTGACCACCTGCTCCCGGGCCTCCACCCCCATCTTCACCTCAGTTCAGTGACCCTGGAACAAGGGAAGCCTTGGGGAAGACCATTTTTAGCGGGGCAGCCACCCAAAAAAAAGGGGAAAGAGAATTGGTGCCACTGAACAGCTGAGCCACGAAGGGCACCAAGGTCTTGTCCTCCGCGAGTCGCACCTCCGCTTTCCGCACCACGAACCACTCGCGGCCCGCCCAGGCCTTGTCCTGGTCATGGGGTCACTCCCCAAGCAGCGCAAGAAAGAACATTCTGCTGGCCATGCAACTGGAGCCTTCCAAAAATATGTATATCATATATACATATATAATATGAAAACCTATATAGATATATACATACACCCATTTTTTATATAAAATATATCAAGGCGCCTGGAAGTGGACTTTCAAATAGATCATAGGAATCCATGTGCTGGAAGTGGGCCCAAAGATAAAGCACTTTGTGTGTTTGTCCTGGTTCAGCTGCCTGAGAACAATGTATACCAATCCGAAATTGCTTACTTCAACGGATTTCAGCCCTTTTTCAAGATATACGGGGCTGGGCCCTAGTTAGTTCATTCTGCAAGACTGTGAACTGCCTGGTTCAGTCTGAAGCTGTCCTAAGCCTGAAGCCAACGAACACCAAAGGCGTAGCCATGCCACGTTCCCAGTGATGCAGTCAGGTAACGTTCGCCTATTTGTTGACACGGTTTCTTTGGTTGCTTTCAGACTTTCAGGGTTCAAAGGGACTTTCAGCGTGAACGACGCGATCGGCCGATCAGTGCTTCTGCGGCCAAAGCTGGTGTGATTGCTTTTCAGCCATCTCAAGGATGGCCCCTTCTCATTTTGGTGGCCCTTTCAATTATACGCGACAGTTCTCTCCGTCCCGAAGCCGGTCGTTTAACCATGGCTCAATACATTGCCTCACTAATTGCCGGATATTCCACGATGCCGGCAGCCCCCATGCGAAGCGCAAGGGGAATTTCCAGCGACGATGCAAAAAGCACGAGGCTGGTGCACATCTGGGGCATACGTCTTGCTTTGGTAAGGGCGATCAATAGCATGCTAATTCAAGCTCTATCGACCTCCCTGCTCAGTCAAAACTCGTGACGTGTTACTTCCGCGTCCTTGTCGGACAGTTCCGACCAATCGAACACGCTCAGCATGCCAGCCACTGGCATTTCATACTCTCCTGACAGGCGACTGGATACTCGATGCAATCAAGGCAACGTAGCTTCAAACGGAATGAAACGTCAATCAGACAAGTCATTCGGCCCAACAAAACAGAGTGGTTATTGGAGGAAAAAACAAAAGGCAGCTTTCCACATGCAGGCGGGCGCATTGCGGTAAAGAAGTGCTGATTTGAAAACATACTTGGAGGGTGTGAGAGTGCCTGTGTGCGTGCGTTTACGGGTGCTGACGGATGCTGCGCGCGAAGGCATTCGCGCGTGCGTTGGTCTGTCGGCCTGTCGGTCTGTCAGTCTGCTGGTTGGCCGTGTCAGTCAGTCGGTGCGTGCGTGCGTGCGTGTGTGCGCGCGTGCGTGTGTGCTTGTGAGTGTTTTTGAGTGTGTGTGAGTGTGTGTGCCTGTATGTGCACGTGTGCGTGCATCTTTGAATGTGTGCATGTGCATCATGTGTGTGTATGCATGTGTGTGTGTGTGTGCATGTGTCTGCACGTGTGTGTGCCGTTCTGCGCAACATGTGTCCGTGTCCGTGTGTGCGTGTGTGCACATTGCCGTTTCATTGTTCCCCATCTATGGGTTCTGTCCAAGTTACCAAGGGCCAGCTCTTTCAGGAAGTAGTCCGCCTGGAACATGACATCTCCCACACTGGTGCCTGCCAGCCAGCTGGGCCTTAGGCTTCCGCGGCAAAAACAAGAAACACCGCGCGGACGAGTCTCGCCTTCAAACTTGCGGGTCCATTTTCTGTGGAACTGAATAGGCAGCACTTCCAAGCCGGGAGCGGCTTCCGTTGGTGTGAAGCGGTTTCCGTGTCGGAACGACGATCACGCCATGTGGCTCATACATCTTCTTCTGCGGCGTCTTCTCCAAGTTCTGGGGGTCCACGGGGTCCAGGGAAAAGAGCGGCTCGCGAGACGCCGTCTTGCGAACCTGACGGTGAAAGCCTTGAAAGACCAAACGCTCTAATTGATTTTTTGCGCAATGTCTTCAGAGGGCTGCCCCTGTGTCACCAGAGCCTGCAGAAAGCGAAGCGAAAGGCTTGCGTAGAAGTTGTTTTTTTCCCCAAGGCGTTGTCATACTTGCCGAACTTCTTCCTCTGCCCTTATGGGGGGAGGTCCAAGCACATCCGTAGAAACACGGCTAAGTGAGGGATGCCCCCTGATCACTGTGCTTCTCTCAAGTCCGCGCCCTACTGCCATGGTGCAAAGGATTCCGGCAGACCTGACAGCCGTTCCTACTCTCTGCACCCCCTTCAACAAGGGCAAACAACACCTTCTCAACTATGGTCATTTTCCAAGTCGAGAAGTCACCAGTTTGCTTTAAAAAACAAAAACTTTGCTCTGACCTTCTCAGCCAGATCTTGCCCGAAGTCACCTTTAAGAAAACTTGCCTACTCTGAACAAATAGCAGCGAGAAATTGATTTGCCAACCCACCAGCGACGCAAGAACGCAGCACAGCGAAGCCAAAACTCCGCCTCTATGAACAGTTTGGAATGGTGAATGCGGGAATCATCTTCTAGAGCCACTATTCTTCGCTGCTCACACTGGCGAAGTTGTAGAAACAGTCCACCGAGAAGGCGCGCTTGAATCGTGCCAATCACTCAAACATCTCGTGTTGTGGACTCTCCGAATGCGCGTGTTGCAGCACACACCGATCATATATCAGGGACACATACAAGTCCAAAACACAATCTTGCTGCATTTCACAGATATCACCACAAAAAAGTGCAGATAACTTTGGAGCCATAACCAACCATGGAAAGCCCATAAGTTAAAGTCCTAACATCCAAGCAAACTGCAACAAGTAAAAAACCGAACCCCCAGGAAACGCTACGCACCTTGAGAGCCAAGAGCAGGTACTCCAAGTTCACGCCGGCGGCCGGCTCCAAGGTTGGCGCCGCCTCGGCGTTTCGCGCGGCACTAAGCTCGCAGGTCACCGAGGAGGGTACCCGATTCCATGCAGCTCAAGAATGTCTCACTTCCTGAGTAGATGGCCCAACGAAACGTCCAAACTGCTTGTTTGCCACTAGAATGGCCCAAACCTTTCTTGAAGTCCAAGAACTCAGGAAGTGAGATGTGCTTGAGGGGCCTTTCTGACCACGTCACCCTGAACGTGCTGAGGCAGTTCTTTATGGTAAACAGGCATGCGGCGACCGTGTGCGGTGGATAGCAAGCATCCCGACTTGATGGCAAAATATAACTCTGCAACTGCACATCACTGTGATGGGTGCGGCCAAATGAAAGCAGAACTCGCTTGGTTGAGATTCGGGCCTTGGGACAAATGACCAGTTGCCAAAAAAGACTCCACCCTGTGGACATTGTTGGACATCTCTGGACCCTAAACACCCATCCCACACTGAAGAAACATCCTGCCACACCCTCTGACCGATTAACATGCTGCAGAACGACTATGTTCCTCTTGGAAAGGGGCTTTGTGCACTTCCATGCTGGTTGATGGCAGGGTAAGGTTATCTAGTAGAACAAGAGCATGCCACCTTCCTGGTAGTGGAGGCAGGCGAGTCCCAAGCGCCCTTTCGGCCAAAGGAGTGGGACCGGGAAAGAGCAAATGGAGCAGATTCAACTATGGCGATTCCCAAGTCTTCCCGGATCAAACCTTCCGTACCTCACCAGTCCCTAAGTCTCTCTCCTTAATACCCGTTAACATGGCTTCTTGCCCCAACATCATCAGGCCAACTCCGTTTTTCCAAGGGTACTTTGAGGACTTTGAGGCTCCGTTGGTGCTATTTTGTGCGGCCGTTCTCTTGGTTGACGTTGGAAGCGGAGCACACATTTAATTTCTTGCACTTAAGTGGGGATTTCAACCACTAAAACCTTTCTCCCATTGTTCTCCCAATTCCATCCAATTCCCTTGTTTCAAGGGAACTTTGCGGACTTTTTGGGGTCCCAGTGCCCTTTTTGTTGCGCCAATTCCCCCCCATGTTTTGTCCCTTCCCCCCATTTCCCCCCAATTTCCCCCCCCCCCCAATTTTGCGGCCATTCCCCCTAGGACGGTGTTTCTCCCATCCCCGTTTTCCCTCGTTTCCCTCGTTTTCCATCAGCGCCTTCACCGTCTTCGATGCCTCGTCCAGGACCAAGGCTACGAGGCCCCGCTCGGAGACCTCCAGGCCGAAGCGCTGGGCCCAGGGGCCGTTCTTCGGGACGCTCTCCATGCGCCAGCCGATGTCGTACTCCTCCCCGCGTCGCGTCTCTCTCCGCAAAATGGGCGGGGTGGAGCCGATTTTGGTAGAGTTTGGCGAGTTTGGCGAGTTTGGCGGTTTTGGAGCCGGTCTTGGTGATGTTGGTGATGTTGGCGACGTTGGTGGTTTGTTTTTTGTTGCCGAGTTTGGTGATTTTGGTGATGTTGGTGGTTTCGGTACTCCTTGGATTCAGACCACTTTTGGAAACAAACACACCCCGATATTAACAAATGATCCGGGGTCAACACCAACTAAGGGGTGCCTGACCTACTATGCCGAAGCTGTTTTGGAGAAGAAGGCAAACAAAATAACGGGCTGACCAGCTTGGATTCGGAGTGATTTTTTTGGGGGAGTTCAGAGGGAATGCCAAAACCATGGGCTCCAAAAACAAAGATTGATCAGTTTGGACTCGGAATAAGGGAAATTCAGAGACGGAATCCACCGACCCAGGGAAAGGCACGCACAAGGATGGGCTTCGGTGTCAACGTGAGACTGCGGGCTCAATGCAAATGAAAGTTCAGCTGAGAGTTTGGCAACCTGGGAACCAGGCAAAATGGCCCGGAGCAGAGAAATGAGGAGATTGAATTAGACGATAAGGATAAGAGCCGGCAAGAACCCCACGCATGCGTGTGCGTCGAGTGCCAGGCGGCCCCTCTCTTCCAACTGGCGCACAGCTGAGAACACTCCGGTTGAAACAGCTGAGACATCGACCTGCAAGGGACCCACACGAATGCAACCTATCTTTCTGTATGCAATCTGCTGTGTGACCCGCAGACGTGGTTGCCGGACACTGCAATATAAATAATGCTCAAGTTCTGAGAACGTGGCTTTTGAGACATTCTGATTCGCTCGAACCTTGCAATCCAAATGAGGAACAACGCTGTAGCAAATTTGTTCTGATGTTTGCCCCCACCCACTCCCGCGGAGGGACATATACAGACAAACAAGCACAACCGAAGCACACTCAGCCAATCCCGGCTCAACGCCAACCTCCGCCCAGAAGTTCCAAAGGGGAGGGGAACCAAACCAAAAAAAAGAAAAGCGGCAGACCAACACCACAAAGGCCAAAACGCCCAGCGGGAAGGACCAGCGAAGGCCGTTGCGGGCCGTTTCTTTCGGCTCCTTGCGGCTCCGGAGCTTCTTCTCGTTCTCCCAGCCGGCCCTTCGATCCTCCTGACCTGGGCGACCCGAGCATGCTTCTTTGGTCTGGCTCTTGCTGGTTTCAGCATGGATCTGGGAATCAATCACTCTTGTACGAGCCTGGGCAGCCTGAGTCATTCCCCTGACTGTAAAGGGCTTCTAACACCCAATCCACATTTCTCCAATGTGTACTCAGTTGCCCCTTAGGGACCCGGAAATAAAAGGTGATCACCTTTGGGGCCATGACCAAAAAAACGGAAACCGAAAAGGAGAAACCAAAAGTTGTCAAATGGCAAATCCCCTGACTGCAACCCCGGCTTTTTGAAGGATTGCTTTCCCACTTGCTTCTAACACCCAATCCACATGTGTCCCATGTGCAGCCATGCTGCCCCACCCAAAGGTCGACTCGCTTTGAATGATTTGCGCCAAGGGGCGCTGAGCATCTTCCACCAAAATCTGGGCCATGCACTCCGCGTGCACGCAGCTGCCACGACCCTCACGACCTTCGTAGGCAAACTCCCCCACAGGCATGTGGCACCTGCATCAACTGCCATGTCTCGCGGGAAAAAAGCTAAGCTGCTCAACCCAACAGCTTCCAACACTACTCGTTTCAAACCCAAACATGAACTCGTTTCAAAGCCATAACGCAGCTTCAACTCGTTTCGAACCCGATCCTTTTCTTGGCCAACTGCTGCCTTCCAACGTCCAGGTCCCGGCCGTTTAGAAAAAATCGCCACGTGGACCGTGCCTACGGAGTCTTTTTAAAATCGGGGCTTTCCAACTTGGGAGCTTCCAACTTGATTCCGACTTGCGAGTGACATGGTCTAGGATTTCATGGTTCATTTGCGAGTGAAATGTCGCAAGACTCCAACCTGGCGCCTTGGGGGTCCCAGCCGTACGGGGTGAATACACCCACAGGCTACATCAATGTGGCTGTTGATCGGGCGCAGGTGCACCGATCGTGGGAGACCTGCGCGGGTATCATGATCTCTGATGTTCTCCTGCCTATGTACCCGGCGGTGATCCTCAACGAGATTACTAGGAATGAGAACATCATCTTTCACCACATTGAAGTGACTCGCTGCGGAATGGGCGCTGGTGTGAGGCATGCCGCGGCCATGTCGATTGATGGTTTCACATGGCCGGCTCTCCGAAGCCGGCCTGCAGCACAAGGGCACCTCCTCACCGTCCGAGTCTGTCGCGGTGGCGCCGCGGCGAGCCTTCTTTTCCACCTTGGGCTTTGGAGCGCTGAGGGCCGCCTCCAGCTCCTGGTTTTGTCTTCGAATGCGAGCCGAGGCGACTTCGGGACTGGGAAGGGCTAACCCAGCCAAACCTGAGTTGCGGGCGACTCCCAAGAGGAACTGCAACTGCGGGTTCAATAAAAGCAGGTTCCCGGGCAACAGAAATCCACAACACCCCAGAGGACTCATAACTCAAACATCCGGAAGAGGGGTACAACTTTGACATTAGCGCGGGTGCCAATGGTCCGACAAACAAAACCAGTAAAGGGTACCTTCTACGCGCGAAAGCCTTGCTTACAGTACCTCGTGACCTGTGCCGTTGCGACAATCTGCCCAAATACGTTTAAAACATATCTTTGGGAGCACCACTAAACCGGTTCAAACACTTCGAAGCAATTCGCCCACGTCCATCCCCAATGAAACTTGCTGGTCCTCAGCAGGGGATGAGAAATGTATAAACCATCCAACTGATGTTTTCCTTGAAGGGGACAGCCTGGGTTTGTTCATTCTTAAGTCATTCCAACGAGTTCTCGGACCATCGGCCATGGCTCCTCCTGGTTTTGCGAGCGCTTGGGCGGGGCGGTGCCTGTGGCCCAAGGGAAGGCCTTGCGATTGTAGCCCGGGCCCCCGCAGCGGTTCTCCCCGAACTTCTCCAGGTACCTCGGAGCGGGTGCCTTTCGGCCTCCCGTCAGTTTCGAGGCATCGGACACACCCACGCTCAGTTGCGAAATCTGCTCCCCTGCCCATTTTTTTCTAAAAACAAAACTGAAAAAACAAAAACAACTTTTAGTGGTTTATGTTATTATAGTTTTTGCCAGGGTTTTAGTGGTTTAATACGGGAAAAAAAAAAAAAAACATTATTTGGCAAAAGTTGTTCAGTCCTGACATCCAAGCAAAGCGCAGCAAAGCATACTTCAGCTTCCGCTTTCAACCCAGTTCGGAGCCAGCCCGGTTTGGAAGTGAGGTGCGCAGCTCCCCAGAACCAGTTCGCAATCCTAAACCACCCCATCCAAACCAATTCGTTCGCTGATCGGATTTGACACTTGCTGAACCAGAAGGAGCTATCTTCCAACTTGGGGGTTGTCAATTGAATTGGGCCCTCAAAAAGGGTTCCCCCCCCCTCCCCCAACTGCTGGTTTTGCCGGCCCCCGCTTTCGGGGTGAGGCCACTTTCGAAACCCCGCAGCTGAGTCGCTGCTGAAAGGCCTCCGCCTCCTCCTCCGGCAGCTCTTCCTTCGGCTCGCTGGACTCGCCCTCGCTGGTGGACACCTCCGTGACCTCCTCCTGGCGACCGAAATCCCTTCGCACCACATGGAAACCAAGGAAAAGCCATACGGCTTGTTGGATTTCACAGGGGAATAATCTTTCCAGATTGTTTCTGAACGGTGGCGCGAAAAGGACTTCGTCTATCCACAGTAAGCGCACAAAGCGCCAACTCCAAAACAACTTGAGCCCGGTGAACATCTATACGGCCATGGGCCAAACTCCCGTTACCAACCAAACTGGGATCCCAAAACGGCTTCGACAACCACAGCCACATGCATATTGGCAAAAAGCCCCAACTTTACATTTCCCACTAAGATGGTCTTCCCAAACAGCTTTTTAAGTTCATGAACCCAGGAAGTGAGTCAGCGAAGCGGCTCCTTCTCGAGCTTCAGCAGCAGGTCCTTGCCCTTCAGGTTCATGGTGACCCAGCCTTTGGCCGGACCTGCGCCAAGGTTCCGAGAGTTGGTGTCTGGATCGCTGGATCGAGGGCCTTTGGCCTTTGGGCTTTGGCTTAGGGAAGGTGTCAGGACTTGGTTCAAACAAGGCCTGCGTCGCAAAAAAAGAAAGAAACGCAAAGATTCGCAGCAAGACTCAGCGACCAGAACATCCCAGAGAGACGCAAACAGACACACAAACACGCACACAGAGAGACAGAAACACGCATACACACACAGCATGCCAGAGCACCACCCACACCCAAAACACTTACAACACTTCCCGATCCCATGGGCAAAGCTGTCAAGATGCTTGGAACATCTGAGGCAAACTTTCTGTTTCGCGCCTGTGCCGGACACCAGCTCATAGGACATCCGCCCCTCACAAAGCTCCACTTCCTTAAGGATGGCACCAGTGGACACTCGGCCCAGCTGAGGCGACACCAAGTCCGCAGTGCCGCGCACGATGATCCCACGCTCGCCACCCTGCACTTGGTACATGGCCATGGCGTATACACGAAAGGCGCAAGAGGTCTTTGACTGGGCCGACGGCTGCGCATGGAATACACCGACTGCACTTGCTGATGCAACCGTTGGCCAAACAATGTCGGCCAACGAATGGTATTCGATGAACATTTCGGAACTCAAGCTTACTCATTAAACCATGTTTTCAATATCTGGAGATGGTTGTGGATGGATGAGCTGTCTTCTTATAACTGTGAATGACATGTTGCGAAATGGGTTCGGAAGGGAATGCAGGGAAAAAAAAACAAACATTGATTTTGAAGAGTTCAAGACCATGTTTTGATCATGCCAGCTTGCACGCCGAGACAAGGGGTTGAACAAGAGAGCAGCCGGCGTGCAGGACAGCTCTCGGGACAACTCGCCCCCTGTGGTTGTAGGGTCCTTTGTGCTGCTTGCAGTTGCAGCTAACAGGTTGGCCCAACAGTCCGCTGGCGGCACTCTAATGCACTGGGGGTGGCATAGCTATCCAGTCATCTAAACTGTTGGCATGTCGTCCCCCCAAGTGTAGTCTACAAACTGTGCCCTGCAATGTGCTTTCGAGCAACTGCATCAGCAAGCCAATGCTATGGATGAACGTGCTGTGCTTGAGATCCGTCACCATAGGTTTTGTTTTGCCTCCCCTATCTACCAGCCAATGGTTTCAGTCAGAAACGACAAAGTGATGGGTTGCTCTCTCATTGATTCAAAAAGGTTGATTGAAGGCAAGCATCCTACAATCGGGCAGGCTTGGGAGCTGGCAAAGACTCGATCTGCGCCTTCTCCTCAGTGGTGGAGTCTGATGCTTTAAAGCTGAAGCCCCTGCGAAAAGTTGCAAGCCATGCTTCCATCTGGTTAAGGCCCCGGGAAAAAATACACATACTTCCAGTAGTGATGAACTCGTTTTAAAACCAACGAGAGCAAATAATAACAATAATATTCTCAAGCTAATGGAGGCATGTTGGTTTTGGGCACCAATGTGCAAAGTGTCCTTCGTACAAAAGGAAGTCAACTTCAGTTCATGGCACGCTCTCTGACCTCAGGAGTGGATCTCTTTGGCCATCCGCGGCAAGCAATCTAAGAAATGCAGAGCTTCAAGTTGTCCAATGACAAGGACCCATAATCAAGCCTCAAACCGGCTTGAATTTCAGTGAGTCCATTAATTTCAGTAGAAGCAACCCGTACTATATATATATATACATGTGTTGAGAAGGAAGTCTTGGCCAGCTTCTCAAAATCAGGGACCCCTCACGGTGGTTTGTGTCCAACAATTCCCCGCAATTGGGGTCCACCATTTGGAGAAACTCCTTATTTTTGGGGGGACCCCAAACATTTAATCAAACAAATACTGGTACAGTTTTGATGTCCTTGCATTTTTCAGCCAAAATACACACAGGAAAGGGCAGCCTCAAAACCCCCCCAACTCCGCCGGGGTTTCCATTTGCCGAGGTGCCGGGTACACCTCCAGCAAGACCTGCGGCTCAGACCTGGTCTCGTGGATCCCATCGGGCAAGACCTCCACGAAGTGCCGGCCCGGGCCGATAGCCTCCACCTAGCGAGCCCGAGGCTCCAAACCCCTGATAAACCTCAAAGGTGGCAAATGGATGGTCATGCAACCCCAAAATGGAGCCATAGGTTATGCCCCATGGCCATTTCTCTTTGTAGGAAAAATAGAAAACCATATATGGAATTGTGTGTGTGTCTTCCCCAAACAAGGTGGCTGTGGGTCAAAAACCACCCCTGGTGAACCTCAAAATAGGTGGCAAATGGATGGTCACGCACCCCAAAATGGAGCCATAGGTTATGCCCCATGGCCATTTCTCTTTGTAGGAAAAATAGAAAACCATATATGGAATTGTGTGTGTCTTCCCCAAACAAGGTGGCTGTGGGTCAAAAACCACCCCTGGTGAACCTCAAAATAGGTGGCAAATGGATGGTCACGCACCCCAAAATGGAGCCATAGGTTATGCCCCATGGCCATTTCTCTTTGTAGGAAAATAATAGAAGACCATATATAGAATTGCGTGTGTGTCTTCCCCAAACAAGGTGGCTGTGGGTCAAAAACCAGGAAACCCCTGGTGAACCTCAAAATAGGTGGCAAATGGATGGTCATGCACCCCAAAATGGAGCCATAGGTTCTGCCCCATGGCCATTTCTCTTTGTAGGAAAATAATAGAAGACCATATATAGAATTGCGTGTGTGTCTTCCCCAAACAAGGTGGCTGTGGGTCAAAAACCACCCCTGGTGAACCTCAAAATAGGTGGCAAATGGATGGTCACGCACCCCAAAATGGAGCCATAGGTTATGCCCCATGGCCATTTCTCTTTGTAGGAAAATAATAGAAGACCATATATAGAATTGCGTGTGTGTCTTCCCCAAACAAGGTGGCTGTGGGTCAAAAACCAGGAAACCCCTGGTGAACCTCAAAATAGGTGGCAAATGGATGGTCATGCACCCCAACATGGAGCCATAGGTTACGCCCCATGGCCATTTCTCTTTGTGGGAAAATGAGAAAACGACATGGAATTGCAGGGTCCCCCAGTGCGACAAGGGGGGGGATCTTCCCCAAGGGAAAATTGAACCATACATGGAATTTCAGGGGTCCCCGTCTTTTCCCCCCTGCCCCAATTCCGTTTTAAAGGGGGTGGAGATACCAAAGGACAAAGAGGCAATGGGTTTGAACACAGGACCAGGTTTCCCCCGTGCAAGCTGTGCCCATGTCGATGTGTGGTCTTCTCACGCCCCTTTTTGTTGCTTTGCACACACACACACGGAATGTTCTCCCACAACGCACAAAGTCCCAAAACTAAGAACAATCATAAAATACCACTGGGCAGTTGAATCCTTAAGCAACACCTACGCCCGGTGAATCAAAGTCGGTGAAGCAAATACCCCTATACATTATGTGTGGTAAAGGACGTTCAACTGGGGGGATGGGCTGTCTACTTTGACCTGTCATCAGACTGGGTTGTTCTAAATGCCAACCCCCCAACTCCCCCAGCCCCCCTCACCCCACCCCTCCCCCCAATCCCCCCCGCCCACCCCCGCACCCCCACAACCCCCCACACCCCCCCAACCCCGAAAAAACGCAAACCCAACAAGTCCAAGCGTCGTCAGCCACCGAGAGCTGGCAGGAAGCCACCCGACTCGTGGAGACCTGCCAACGGGCGTCTGGTGCTACGACTCCGCTTTGTCTTCTTCGGACCCGCCTTCACTTGGCGAATGTTGTATACTGTGTTTTTTCGTGTTTGTTTTTCCCCAGGGCCGAGGTTCAAACGATTGCTTGGCAAAAAACCGAGACGGCATTTATTAGGGGTGGGGCCAAAGGAGCTTCACGGCTTTGCGCAACTTCGATGCAGATTTGATTTTCAGCTCCAGCGCGGCCTCTCCCGGCACCAGCCGGCTGCCGACCTGCCGAGAGACAAGCGCACAGTTTGGCGGCCAAAACTCACCCAAGCGGCAAAAGAGCCACATATCTCCAGACCTGGACGAAGCCAAACACGAATACTGCATGTGTAGAAAACGGCCTAAACACATGATAGGCTGATAGGCATGTAAAGGGTAGATACAGAGCGTACCTACGAAAACAAAACCACATAAATCACTGAGGCTTCTGTGTAAAGACTGATCCTTTGATATGTGCATGCTGCTTTGTCAAACGATCGCCCTCTCCCACCGCAGCAACCCAATCAGTACCAGCCAAGCAATTACTCTATTTGGTTGTGGCTGCGCCTGTGTGGGCCACATTGATTTCGCTAGACAACCCGCATTTGCCACACTAACCCTTGAAGAGTCCTTGACGCAACGGCCAAACGGCATTCCATCTCAAAAGAAAGTATGATATTCCAAGATTTAACCGTGTCCCACCTCTGTCCATGCTTGCTTGGAGAGCATGGTCACAAAGTTGTACATTTAAGGCTTATGAAATGGCGGTACCAAAGGCACGTATGTTGAGTCCTTAGGCACTTGCTCTCTCTCTCTCTCTCTCTCTCTCTCTCTGTCTCGCTCTCTCTCTCTCTCTCGTTCTATCTCCCTCCCCCTCTCCCCCCTTTCCCTCCCGGTCTCCCATTTCTTCCCGGCAAAGCCAAAGCATCTAGTTGAGCGTGGGCTTGCCCGTTTGGCAAGACAACTGTGAAGGCGAAGGACAAAACAGCGTTTCCGTGTGACCAACGCCCTCGACATTATCTCTTCGGATATTGGACCTGTGCCAAGCTAGTAGCCCAGCATGATCGAGGATTGACTTGTGGTTTGCCCTGCAACTTGCCTGGGGTTGATGCAACTAAGTAATTTGTCGGCCTGGTTTGCGAGCGGCTCCAAAGTGACAAATTGTGCGGCATCAACTAGAGCAAAACAGCCATACAATCCGGACATGTTCAACCAGCTGGATGTCCAACCAGCTAGTTTAACACACGCACACACACACACACAAGCATGACAAATTACTCACGCGCTTGTTGGCTTGTTGCCGGCCAAATTCCTGGGGGCATACCAATGGTCAAACCCATTGATGCCAACTAATCATTGTGACCCATCAAGGTGGTATGTACTTACATATGGATCCACATCCCCGTTTTTGCTCCAAATCGAGCCCCGAACGTCAGCACTGAGTTTAGCCCATACCCCCAAAGCAAAGCCCCAATCGACACCGGGGCATGCACACTTTACTACTCTGGGTTCATCGTTTTTGTTTGAGGGTCAGGGTGTAGTGGAAAAACGGCACGTTTCAAACCCCAAAAAAACCGCCAGCTTCGGTACGCGCCTTGCATCGGAAGCTGGAGAAGGTCATGCGCTGCTCTGGAAACTCCGTGGCCAAGAGGTGCAAAGTCCAGACTGGAGCGAGTCGAAGGGCCGACTCGGTGCCAATCCAAGTGATGCCCTGGAGATTCCAAGAGGTGTCCCGGGAACCTTGAAATCATTCGCAATTCCCTTGCGGGTTGGTGGTTGGATGCGTTTGGTTCACTTGCAGGCCATCTACTGTAACCCTCCGAAGAGCACATGCACGCCTGTTGAACATGTTCGTTCAGAACAGAATAAAGCTCCCCTCTGATATTCACATTCTCATCGAGGAACGCAACAAGGAATCCCACAAATGTCACAGCGCGTTGGAGAGCTGACATTGGAAAGTCCTACTCAATTGCTGCCGACCGCCGCACAAAGCGGTCGGTAGGTGTAAATGAGCTATGATCGACAGGCAGCATTGGGGAGTGCTTGCCATGTCGGCCTTGGTGAAGGTTCCCCAGTTCCGAAACGCAAAGTGTGCAAAGTCATTCTCGTGGTGTACGTGTGCCTGTTGCTTCTCGTGCCTTGTTAGCGTGGCGATTGCAAGCATGCCAGTCAGTGCCGCAATGCGATTGGCCGAGCGATGCCATCGTCATTCCTATCCAAGGGTCGCCCGAATTCATGGTGGCCCTGGCCACCAAGCCCTGCAAAACAAGGTAGCCATACCTACGACTACCAGCACAAAACGTCAAGCCATGCCAGCAGAAGTGATGAATCATGCCGACAAAAAGCGACACAATGCCCGGAGCAAGGCAGCCCATGGAGAAAAAAAAAGGAAACCGACATGAGCAGGTGAACACGTGAACCCGGGGCCCGTTTCTTCCCCACCTTGGCCCGGGTACACCTGCGCTGGCGAGATCTGTAGCAACGAAGGTTGGCGAAAGACCTGGCGTCGCCCACTGGCTGCGTTTTTGTTACCCTTCTTTGGTTTTTCAGGGAAACCAGAAGGAATCAAAAGGAAAGCCACAGAATTGAGGGGATTCTCCCATTTGGGGGCAAACCAAGCCGATGGATTCACAAGGTGCTTCCCCACAAACTGAAGGGCTCCCTCTCAAAGGTTAGCCCTGGGTTCCAATACCATCTTTCCAATCATGGAAGTGGCTTTAACACAAGCAAAAAGGAAAGTCTTCCAAACCCCCTTGTCAAAGACCAAAGTCCTGAAACCCAACCTCCGAAACCAACTTCTCAAAATATGAACTCGATATGTTCTCACACAAACCAGACCTGGTTCTCGCGGCCAATAGCCACCGCTTAAGACGGGTGTAGGCTCAACTCTCTCAGCACCCGATCCATGGTGACAAGGCACACCACAACTCCTTGAAGGCATATGGCTTGGGTCTTCTTTGGCAGCGTGCCAATCCATACTTGGGTTGGAGGCCGAATTTGCCGCGGCGCGCATGGGCCATACGAAAGCTTTATGCTGAAATTGCCCCCCGGGCCTCGATCCCCACGGGCAGGGTAAGGAAGTTGAAATCGGGCGCCTGGCGGGCGGACAATGCATGGCCTGACCTTTGATTGGATCCAGATGTTTGTGCGACACACAAGTGGGTTTCAGCAAGGCGAAAAGAAGTGTTTCTGCTCATCGGCACCCTGGCAACAAATGACATGAAGTTCAGGCGGACGGCACGGGCCGAGGGTTTCGTGGCGGCGACGGCCAAATTTTTGGGGGTGCCACAACCTGCGTTCAGCCGCACCCTGTGGCTAGCGAGCCATCTTCAATGTACGGAGTGTGCCTAGTTTGGGGAGTACTCTTTTGGATTGTTTCCATGAGCTCGGCAGAGCCGAAACCAGTGGCTGAAAGTCACCGGAAACTCCGTGCATGTGTCGCTCACTGAAGCTCAGCATGGCTTGCAATAGGTTTTGCATGGATCCCCCCTTGTGAAATTTAGGTGGGGGAAAATCAAAAACGCGAAACGTTTATAGGGAGAGTCAACCCCTCCCATTCTGTAGAGAAGTTTTAAGCAGGATGCAAAAGGCAGGCCATGCCTTTGGAAAAAAAGAACATGGATGCTGTGACAGACCCATTTAGCACCAAATGCAGCTGATGAGGCTGAACCCTTTGCGCCAAGTCAACCTCCTGCCGAAGGCGCCTCTCCAACCTGCAGGGCATAGGAGCCCGGCGCACCCACGGCCAGATTGCAGGTGATGCTCACGTTGGTGAGTTGGGACGCAAAGACCTCGACTGATGGAAGAGATGATTCCCCAATAAACCCAGGGACAGCCCTATGCATGAACTGGTGTTGACTACTATGGGTTCAACATTGCAACTGTCGCATCATGCGTTTGGTTGAGCCGAACTGCAGCTTGCAGCGCACGGCCTGGCCGGTGCTCCTAAGATTTGGGCTGGAATAAATATCTTGCATACTGTATTTCACACAACTCGCGGACCTCCACTCCGCGGCTTCTACATGGGTGACTCTCCTTGCCGAGCGTCCATCTCGCCGTCGGGGTACAGGCGACAGGCCAGGCCGCGCTCAGGCGGCGTAGAGAAAGTCACGACATAAGCCTCCGCTGCGCTGCTGAGAGCACGTCTTCGCATCCCAGACAAAAAGGCAAAAAGGCATCTGGCTGGTCGCTATGCTCCACGAAACGGAGCGAGTCAAGCAAAGCGGCCCCGCATACTAAAGGCTTCTAGGATGGAAATAGCGAGGACTTCCCTTTTTATTCGAGAGACAAAGCGGGGGATGTCTGTGGGGAACCGCTGGAACGCCAAGTTCGGGCACACCGGGGATATTCCTGAGATTTTCCGGGATCTTTTTGTACAGGAGCACCACCACCTCAGAAAACACGCGGAAAAATCCGCAGCAGGCTTGCACCTCATGACCACAAACATCCGCCACCCCATGCGCGGAGAAAACAAAAAAAGTCAGACTCCAGAGGTGTGAAAAAGAAGAGGTGGGCTGGCAGCAAAGGTGGCGTCATGTTCGGATGGGGCGGCCTCATGTAGGTACAAGAATTCTGTGTTTTTTGCCCACAATGGCTGTAGCAATATTTCAGAAGCTCATGAAAACACGTCGTTTGCCAACATGCATGCGCTACACTTCAGAAGGCATTTCTGCCCAACACAACTCCCGACCTGAGCCCGCATTTCCAAAGATAGAAACGGCGGAACATCCTCTCTGCAGGAACTTGGCAACAACAACATGAAGAGCAAAACGGTGCAAAGGAAAATGCCCGAATCCAACAAGGGTCCATGAGCAACACATGGTTGTAAAACCACCTTTGTATCCTTGAGGTGCGGTCTCATCGGTGGATGCGCAGACTGAAACATGATTGTTCAGCCCGCTGCCGAAGCCCGTCCGCCAGCCAACCAACCGACAGACCGACTGCAGGAAACCGACTGCAGGATTTTCCCATCGCCAAGGAGCAGAGTTATCGATGGGCAGCGTGTCAGGCACTACCGACACAACCTGCCAAGAGACACAAAAGGCCTGCCTGTAAGCTTACTGAAAGAGTCTCTGCCGCAATCCTTTCCTGAAAACAATAACTTTGGTGACAAAGTGTGTGTGTGTGTGTGCCGCCGTGGTCGGATAAATCTTCAGGCTGCGCACATTTCCTTGTGCCTGAAGGACCAGACCCTTCATTCGGGCGAGCGCATGCAGTTCCGAAGGCCTACCAGCCGTCGAGTCTTGGGTTTCAAGCACAACTTACGCCCAAGAAGAAGGTTTAAATCTCCCAAGATGTGGCCACTGACTTCTCTTCCCATGCAGTTCTCTTTGCATCTAGCCTGACTTGCTTAGCGCCTGCCTCCCACACAGAGTACAAGTTATCGACATCCTGGGCGTTGGATGTCGCCACGGCTGGTGACCTCGACCGCGCGCGATCGATACTTTTCAGAGGTGCAAAGCAAATCGGATGGCGACCTGGTGGCTGGCGCCAGCGACTTCAATGGCTACCGACCCAAGTGCAAACCACAATGAACACTGGGCTGTCCAACTGATCCTCTGCTAAAGGTCAAACTGTTAGTGAGTAAGTTGGACACCCCCACTACACACCCTAAAAGGCAAAAAAGAAGCTGAGGAACCGGGTGGCATGATAACATTTGCGGCTGACAAGAAACGAAGCACTAAGATCACGAAGCGTAGCAAAGGAGAGGGGGGGGCCTTTTAAGGCAGGTGCTGCTCCAAGCGCATCTCAGTCAAAGGCAGTCAGGTAAGGTCTGTTTTCAAGCAAAAAAATCGGCACGCGATGGCACACGCATTGGACATAGTGCCACCCACAAGCAAGCAAACAGGCGAGCAGGCAGGCAGCGAGGCAGTGAAACACAGGCAAACACAGGCAAAGAGGCAAAGAACTGACAATTCAGCCACAAAGCTGGCCTGCTCCATGCTTTCTGCGCTTAGAAGCCAGCATGAAAGCCTTCATCTTTTAAGCTTTTCTTGTGGTTTACCTCCTGCCCGTTTGCCCGACGTCATCGGCCCAAGGGACACGTCCTGGCTACGTTGCGTCGGCACCTCGACCAGGGCCGGTTCCGGAGGGGGCGGCTGGCAGAAAACCTGCGCCCAGCAGCCACTTTGGCCGGTCGATCGGAGCCAAGGCTCTGGGTGAATGACTCACTTGCCCCTTAGGGACCCAGAAAAAGGCGATCACCTCTTGAGGCCACTAAGGCTAGAAAGGAGAAACAAAAACAAAAAAGGTCGGCTTTGGGCAACTGAGATAATTCACCGGCCTGAAACTTCAGGTGGTTTGGGGGCTATTCCCTACATAAACCACCATTTGCGGTGAATTCGGTCGGGTGAGGTCGTTATAATTCACCCAGAAGGATTCCCAAAAGCCAAGAGATCCTGTTTGACGTTCTCTCTGGGCCAGACTTCACCCCGCAAATAGTGAAACTTTCGCTGGCTAAAAGGCTGCCAACGTATCAAAAGAAAACCCAAACCAAACTAAACCAACACCTGCGAGAATGAGCGATGCTGTTACTGAGACAAAGCTTTCAGGAACACACTGGGAGGCGCTCGCATTCCTTTGATTCTCAGGCCGGCCTCTTGACCGACGCACGTAACATGGTCCCGTGGCTTGCGCTAAAGGCCAAATCCATTCCCGTGGACCATTCGTGATGTAACCACTTAGGTGCTGCCCCAGTAAAACTCATGGCATGCGATGTTTCGGTCCGAAGACTTGAGGAAGCTGCCCGGAAGCCATGCCTTTGAACAGCTGGATCATCGTTTGTGCCTTTGGATCGCACCGTGCCTTCCCTCCCAAGCATAAACGTGCATAGCCCCCCTTTGGTAGCCAACTTTCTTTGGGCTCAGAGTTTTGCAAATGTTTCCCCAGGAACAAGCCTCTGGATAACCTTTTTCCCCAGAAACCAGCCTCTGGACCCCTAAAGCAATTTACCAGGAGGTCGTTTAGAACTCTTGAAGTTCAACATGTCTGTGCGCCAGGGGTTGGCCACGCACTTCCATGGCCCGCCTGCGTATCCTTGCACTCCTGCAAGCGAAGCATTCGACGCGCAGCTGGCAGCTTCCCTTTGCTTGTTGTTTTGCCAAGGGCTAAGGCAACAAAAGGCAATCACACCACCGGAATTCTGAAAGTGGCAGCACTCCCAATCAGCGACAAGGGACTGACTTTACCTTCCGCACGTTGCAAGACAGAGAACAAGTTGGGGTAATACCTGCAATGACCCGACAACTCATTGCCAAGCTCGGAATATTCACAGTGACCAGGCACATCATATCGCAGAATTGCTTCCCCTGGGCCCTTGAACTATTCGAAACATGCCAGTGCGAGGGCATTGCTGGGTTGACGAAATGAGCTCATCTGCTCACGGAATGTAGGGACCTCATTTGAAGATCACGGGACACATGTCAGTCCCTTCAGTCGCGAGACCTCGATCCCTAGGCCAAGTCCCGCCTCCATCAAACAACTGCGGCAAGGCTCCCCCCCCTGGTACCTTGGCTGTTTTGGATGAGCCTATGCCATAGGCAAACATCACTAAGCCATTCCAACCTTAGATTAAGCACATCAATCTGCTAAACATGGCAAACAACCGTCAAGACTCAACAAGATTTCATGCCCTGCTTCATTGACGAGCCTCGGGTATTTGGCCAATGGGCGATGCAAAATGAGAACCTATAGCTTACGACAGCTTAATCCATGATTCTGTTTTGTTGGCTTCTTCTAGAGTCGTCCGGTCCAACTGCTTCCCCCCAAGCCCAGAGACTGTCTGCAAGGCCCAAACGCAGGTTCAATCTTCAATGCAGTCTGCTTCTCCCGGAAAAAGCACAGTCTTCGGTACTTGGAAGGTACTGGGGCTTGTCCTTTGCACTTCATTTTTCGCCAAAGGCTTCTCGAATTTTGAGCAACCTGGCAGACTGATCAGGTCATGAAGTGTCTGCTTGCTCGCAGGCCGGACGCGGCTTCGTCCCAACAGTAGACAAAGGTCCATCTGGGCAAACATCCGCGGCCGAAGTCTTGTTAGACCTTGCCAGCTCCCCTCGAGGGATCTAAAGGTTGCAATATGAATCTTGACGCCGCATGCCTTGGTTGACGTTGGAATCCGGAAGGGGAGCAAAAACAGATTTTTTTAGCAGTTAAGTGGGGATTCCCCACTAAACCACACCAAGCCAAAATGTAATAAAATGTCTCCCAACAACAACCATGATGCATTGAACCGCGCCTCGTTCTTTTCGGGGGAGCCCTGCTTTGAGCCGACACTATCCGCAAGCCCATTTTGGCGTTGGACCCCGGTCTCCTCAGAGTCCTCCTCGTCGATGGTGCTTGCCTGTGCCGGAGGGTCACCGATTTAGACCAGTCTTTTCTCTTGAAGGGAGTTGGTGGGGTCCAACATCTGGTTGCCTGCAGAGGAAGGGAGGCGGGTCCATGTTGGAGAGGGAGAATCACTGGTTGCCTCCAGAGGAAGGGAGGCTTCAACCATGTTGGGGTTTGGCTGGGGCAAGCGACCCAAAAGGAATTGCCTGGTCCAGCCGAAAGAAAGTGTTCCAATCACCAAGAATCGCCTTCGCCCCTCAAAGACACCTGGTCCACACATTCTCACTTGGCAAACCCATCGGAAATCGTGGTGTTGAGCCCTTTGGACTGATGCTTCGAGTCATCAAGACAGTCACAAGTGTTGTTCAACACAGCTTGGTTGACGTTGGAAGGGGAGCAAAACTTCTCAAATTTTAGCAGTTAAGTGGTTGGATCTCAACCACTAAACCACAACAAGCCAAAATGTAAAAACTGTTTCCCAACAACAACCCATGACAGTGGCTTTCTCCTTGGAAACCTCCGAGGCCCGTCCGCGCCTGGAGGGTCGGCGCGCCAACCTGCGATTTGTTTTTGATTCAAACCGCAGATGGCGAGGAATCGTTCGGTCAGCGACGTGAACGGGGAGACGTGATTGTCTCTTTCCGTGCATTGCAAGTGCGTGTGTGCGCGCGCCCCTCCTGCGTTTATTGAATATAGTAGCTATTGTCATGTCCTTCTATATCGCCAATTGCGTATCCCCACAAGTTCGCCCCTGGGTTCTTGCACAGCAAGAAGGCACCTTGAAACATCATATTCTGCAACACGACCAGCCATGCCGACAAGGCTGATTTATGGGTAGGGAACATGCGCCTTGACCCTGCAGGCCGTGTCACAACCAGGTGGCCTTATGCTTCAAGTTTTCAGAGTCTTGCTTGAGAACAGGATGGTCAAGAAACAAGTAGGCTAAGTCGCATGTGATGCTATCTTTAGAGGGGGCGAACATGCCTACGTCGTCCGGTTAGAATAAGGGTACCCTTTTTTTCGGTAGTCTATTTTAGTGGGGGAACCCTCCCGCAAAAAGGGTGAGAAAGGGCACTGATGCGATACATCTCAGCTAGACTGCCGCGCAGTTCGTTGCGCATCCCCTGCCTTGCCGAAGGTCATCAATTTTCGCGCATAAGCCTGGCGCTTGGCCATTGACAGGCCAGAAAACCCCCCCGCTGTTCGCGAAAAACATGCGTTGACCCGCTGTTCAAGGGGCTAGGTTCTCCAATAGAAAGGTTAGAATAAGGGTACCCTTTTTTCTGTAGTCTATTTTATTAGGAAAACCCTCCCCAAAAAAAAGGGTAAAAGAGCACTACTGGGGGACCTGGGGGGCGAACAAGGGCAGATCTCAGCGTGAGCAACACCCCTACGTGCCGGAGAAGGCTATGCCATCCAATCTGCCTGGCGGGCAGATCATGGCAAATGATGGATGGACCTTGAAATCTACAAAAAACATATCCATCCCACATGGGCCGCCCAAGTCGCCTGTAAAGAAATGCGCAAAACCGGAGAAAAAAAGGCTCACTGACACATCGGAAATGCCATTAAGGTTCGGCACCTAGAGGCCTACAGCACCCTTCAAACTTGAAACATTCTAAAATCCGCCGTGCATCCGTCCAATCATCCGTCTGTCAGCCAGGGTGAGGCCGCCTTTAGCAAAGCATAGAGCACAACAGGCACTCACCAAGAGAAATCGAGTACATGCTGTCGTGATCAAACAAGTGATCAAGCCCCACATGCACGAGTCCATCCCTCGAAGTGGGACCCCTAACCCCCCCCCCCAGGTGCTGTACTACCCCCTACACCCAATACCCGTTTTTTTTTTTTTTTCAGGAGCTGATAGGGTATGCTGTCAACCCTTGACTAAAAGAGGAGGCATCTATTCTGGAAAACCTGGCCTTCACAACACCATGCCCTAAAAAAAAACACATACATTTGGAGCAGGGGGCATGCGTCACTGAGTCACTAAGAACCAGCCCCGACAGGGCGGCACAGGCCTGCAGCATGCCTGCGAAGACTAGGCCCAGCTTCTGTTCGCCAGCCACGTGGGAGGACACGTTGCAAATCACTCGCTTGTCGCTGAGCAGCGTGGCCGGGGCACGGTAGCCGTCTCCACCCAGGGAGCACTCCACCACGGACTTGTTCTCCTAAGTCTAAAGGACTTACGTGGTCTTTGCTGGGCTCAGATCCCCCGCCAAAAGTTTAACTTTTAGTGAGTTGAATGGAAACCAATACTAAAGACTAAAAGGCTAAAAGGCTAAGGGGATGGCTGGGAGCAACCAAGTGTTTGCCTGTTTTGGGGCAATCGGTCGTTACATAATTTCTGGCGGTTTGCTTGCCACTCCAAACGGTTGAGCTGGAACAGGGGTCGAAACAAGTCAGCATCCCCGACATATATGGCTATGGATCAAAATCCCGTATCCCCAGTGAACATCCCAATCCCAACTAAAATAGACTAAAATGGGAGGTGCGCCTACCCCCAAATGGTACCATTGGTGTTGACCCACAGCCAGTTTTGCAACCTCAAGGCTGCCGAACGGCCTTCAACAGTCCAGTGGCATACCGAATGTGTCCGAGACTCAGCCGCAAGGATGTGAGGAAAGCGTCGGCCCAGAATCTCCACTAGCACCGTCTCGCCTTGCGAGTAGGGCGGGCGATCGCCCAAAAGCTAAAGCTCTCTTGCAATAAGTCGGGCTTATTATCCTAACTTCATGGATGGATCGGTCGTGTTTGGCGAGCTCGTTAGCCCTCGCTTTCCCCCCCTTGCATCGTCAGGAATGAGGACAACAGGAAGCAAATCCACACAAAGGCAACTTGTTGGCTTCGAGTTGAAGCTACCCCTCTCACCTATGGCAAGGCTACAAGGATGGTACACGCGGAAAAGTGCTTCTTACAGGTACCTCGAGCCTGCAAGTCTGGAATCCTTAGAGTTCCTTGAACAGCTTGGCTGGATACACCAAATGTCAAAACCAACAGTTACCAGTAGTTGTCACGTTCAAAATCCGAGGGCCTGTGAGCTTGAGGCATTCTTCCCACCGACTGAAGCCTCGCTGCATGAAGTGTAGGGTGCGCCAAAAGGAAGCCCAAAAAGACCGCTCCCTAGTAATCTGGTGAAACAGGTATGCACGACATCGATATATATATATATATACATATATTTTTAAACGCAGTATTTGACAAGGGGTTGTGACCGGTAAGCTGTCACAGGCCAAATGGAACGTGCTGTGGAACCAAGCTAGGGTACCAGCACCCAATGCAAAGGTCAGCACAAACGAGAACCCAGTCGAACAACCCGTAGATCTTCAAACCTAAAAAAAGCCAAACGACTACCCAAGTTAAAGGACCTACACCAACCCGTAGATCTACAAAATCCAAAAACCAAACAACTACCCAAGTTCGAGGACCTACACCATGGTTGTCTCGTTCTTCAATGCAAAATTGGCAGCTGGTATATGTGTGGCGCGTGGCTCCAGAGTCAGCAACTCACACTTCCCGAGCCCCGCCGCTCCCGGCAAGCCCTTGCCTGCGACACCAACCTTGGCCGCGCCCGATTGCTCTTAACGAAGGCGACCACCCTCCCCCCAACAAATTTTGGAAGCTGACAATCGGAGGGCTTTGGAAGACTTTCCTTTTGGTGAAGCCCCTGTGCACTTCCATTTTTTAGAGAGTATAACCTAGCGCGGTGTCAGCCATGAGACATTCCAAAGAAATTGGCGAGCCCAACGATCCTGATCCCTCATTACCTTTTTGCAGGATTTATAGGAATTGAGGAAAACGCGGCGGCTACAAACAACGGATCTCAACATTCAAAACAAAACCACTGAAAACACTACTTCTCCTGCATTGGATGATGATCTTCCAAGTTGCGTGCATCAGCAATTGGCAAGCGTTCCAGCTTGCAACCATCGACAAGTGCATCGATCAGAGATTGATTGCATCACAAAACGCAACACCTTGACAGAACTGCGCATTTCTGAGACTGATCACAATCCTATTCTTCACTGAGGAAAACCGAACAGAGCGGCATTTTCACAGGAAGATGCTGCAAGTTGCACCCCTTCTCTTGCATGATATCTGTTCGGTCCCGACGTTTGTTTTCTAGGCTTCACCTGTTAAGTCCGCTAGAGACGGTAAGAAATGAACACATCGACTCTGAAGAGGAGAAGGTGATCTATTCAAACAACATGTCACACAAATCAGGTCCAGACTCGCTCCAAGCCCAACTGCGCAGGGGAAACCGGTTTAGTTCCACTCGCGGCTGCCACTTTTGCCAAAGCCTGGTGTCTTTAAGCCTGGGCCACAATCTTGTCGTCATGACCAAACTGTGTGGCCTATGTGCCATGAGCATGCAACATTTCAAACAGCCAATCAATTCTATGAAGGACATCAATAAAAAAAAAAGAGTTTTGCAGGCACATCAATGTTGTTTCGGCGTAGTAGTGACATGCGGAACACAATGCAACATGTGCGGCAGCGAACGCCAGCAGGAGGACTTCCCTCGGAAATATATGCCCATATAAATACAGATACATGCACGCCAGATACACGAAAAGATGCGCACTGCAAGAACGGCACAAGCGCATGTAAAAGCATGTTCACACACACACACATGCACACGTTGAAACCAAATCTTGAGCAACATAGGTTCGCACATCCGCACACGTACACAACACAAAGACCACACAAATGGCCTTGGGGTAAAAGTCCAAGATCTGCGGCAAGTAGTTGGTGTTGTCTTTCGGCAGAAGACATCGTGGCACCAACGCCTCCCCAGTCGGCCACTGCACCGTGACATCCCTCAGCGCGAAAAAGCGCGGAGAAAGTGTGGGGTTTGGTTGGCTGTTGCTTTGCCCTTATCCAGCTAACAAACCTTGCCAAAAAGGCCTGGAAGTAAAACGTTTGCGCAATGGCGCAAAGATAGCCAATGTAGTCGAATGTAGTCACCCATGAACAAACACGGGGATGCCACGCGGTTTCCTGCACCTGGTGGTATAGGGGTCGGGCCGCACTAACAAGCAGTGTGAAGCCTTAACATTTGTCCTAGTCGTCTGCAGCAGCTGTCCTGTTCCCCACATAACAAACCAGTGGTACCAAGACGAGCCTACAAGCTCCCATTGTAGCTGAAAAAAGGGAACCAGCGCGCGCAGTTTGCTGACTCGGCCTCAACAAAATGTATGTCTCTTCGATCAGGCCAAAGACACTAAAAAAACATGTCCGCAGCTTCCCTTGAACACAAAAGGCCCAAAAACAGGTCATCAGAGTCTCCACCCATGCGTAGAAGAAGCATCCCAGAATCATGGGTGGGGTTCATTATATGGCATGTCGCGCAAATTGGATGAAGGGCAACATCATCGAAGCCCCAAAAAGCATGATCCAAGGCAACCAATGTGGGTCCCGGTTCCCCAAACGGAGACAAACCCATGCGCCCAGGCGCACGGTGACATCCGAGTCCTCCCCGGTTCCAGGCAAAGGACAGTCGACTCCGCTGGCGCCTCGTTGCTTGGATCGCCCTCTGGTCCAGCGGCGCCGAATCGTGATTGGTGTCCAAGAACCAGGGGGCACTCCCCATTTTGGTGGGTTTTCCTTCTGGCTTTCATTTAAAACCAGCCCCCAAAAATGGGCCGTGTAAACCTCCCCCAAATTGGTGGTTTGGCTTGGTGAGGCTGAGGATGTTCCCCCAAAAAACACAAGAGTCATTCAGGGGTGAAGAAATCTGCAACCCATCCAAATCACCAATGAAAGGGCTACCTAGCTTCGTAGAATCACGTGGCAAACATGCTATGCAGAATCAGATGCAAAGGTTGGCATGATGGAAGGCTTCAGTAAGTGTAACAAAAATCCGGAGAACGTGGACATCGGCAACCAGTGGACACATACAAGTTGGGAAAACTCCGTTTGCAGCCGTCTAAACCAAGTTGCTTCATGTTTTGGAACTGAAGCAAGCTAATTGGTGCATGGGGAGGGGACTTTGATGAACTTTGTCCAATGAATGGTATGGGCTTACCCTCCCCCCCCCAAAAAAGCACAAAACAAAAACAAAGCTGCATAGGGGTCCCTGGAAGATCCTGTTCATTGCAGGAATAACTTGTTCGAGGCTACCCCCGGACGGCAATCCTTCAAGTCAATCCCCAATACATGGAAACGGACAACTTGCGTTGCAGCTGCTGAACCCAAGCGTGGGTTCAAGGTCAGCGCGCACTCAGTTGCCCAAAGGACCCAGAAATACAAGGGGGGCCATGCCAAAAGTGGACCAAAAAGGAGAAACCAAAAGGTCAAAAGGTCGGCTTTGAACAACTGAGTGCATGGTGACTTCACGTGCCAGCAGGCCTTCTACAGTATGTGACCAGAGCGGTCAAGGCAAAATTGCATCCGTGCAAGACAAGTACCTTGAGACACTCGTCCAGGGGATGTAGCGATTACATGCTACTGATTTCAAGCACTGCAAGTTAAAGTGTCGGTCGAAAAACATGTGGAGTAGCTCAAAGCACCAACTTGCTCCAACTCTCGGAGGGACAGAGCCGGTGCACTTCGGCGGAATTGTGTGACCTGGAGGGGGATATTGCTCCCATTCGCGGTGGGCTTGGAGGTTGGATTGGTTCAACTTGCCCCTAGACTAAGGATCCACCACTTTGCAGGTGCAGTGAAAAACATGTTTTGCACTTGGGAATGCTCGTGTTGTGGTCCATTCTCCCAACGCAACGCACCTGTCTCGCCACCTCCCAACGTTGGCGCGAGTAAGCACCGGGCTGTAGTACTCGGCGACATCCAGGGCTTCAGCCCAGAAGAAGCCTGGGGCATTCCCCCGCCATTGCAATGGGTATGGGTCAAAATTAAACCACCAGGGGACCGCAGGTTTTGGCCCATTCTTCCATTTGTAGGGTACCCCTTTTTGAGACACAGCCAAATGACCAGCTCTGTCTGGCCGCCCCACATCGCTGAGCCCTCATGAGTTGTGTGTGCCGGCATGCCGGAACACAAGAGTGACGCGTAGTAAACGGACATCTGCAGCAATGCTGACAAACCTAGTCTTGAGGTTGGAATGCGAAGACAGCTGCGAGGACAGTGGAGAACTCAACCTCGAAGCATTTGTTATTCCAGTAGCGGCCAAAAACAAACCTCTCGCCAGCACAGAATCAGCACACTTTCAAAGACAGGCAACCAGCTGCGCGAATTTTGAAATCATAGTTTGCGATTGCTGTCGTGAGCTATACGCTGCGAATTGGAAACCCCTGCGGGGCCCCCACAGCAGAAGCACCAGCGAAGCCATGTCATTCTAAGAGGAGCTCATTGGATGAGACGCCTCGCTTCCAAGCAAATCACGGCCCAGCAAAAGCAACGTGGTTGCCACCACCAGTCGCTAACCCCCTGTGAGCTGTGGGGGGTTTGTAGGCGTTTGGCTAATAAACGCGTATGCCCCATATGGGGAAATTTTGACATGTAAAGACCATGGTTCGATAAGAGCCGTGATTTCCTGCGGCGCGGCGTTTACGAATGCACGGCTGCCAGTGCCTCATGGCAAGCCAAATCCGTTGATCCTTCCTTCGCTCACCAGCGTCCTTGCCAAATGGATTGACAGGTAGGCACAGGTGCCGCCTTACTTACACCAAAACCTGTGCAGTGCCTTTACGTGCTGTCTCAAGTTTGACTTCGTGGTTCAAATTGGAGGGCGGTTTGCCGAAGAGAAGCAAAGGCTCATTCCCTCCCCCAGCTGGGAACTTGACATATTTTGCTATTAAAGGAAGTGCACATGTATGCATGTAAAAATGAAGCGTCTGCAAATACTCACGTACAAATACATGCGCTATCGCGCATACATATCTATGCACCCTCTGCTTTGAAGTAAGCATGGAAGCCATAGGAGACATCATCAACACAAGACTCTCTACAATTGGCTTGGGACTGCACGCTGTGAGTGTGAGAACACACATGGGCCCCTCAATATGACAGGTGAACCTACAAAGCACTTGTGATCAAATAGCCTGCCCCTCATACAGCAGAGCAAAGCACGCGTGATCAAATTCCCAAAACTCTACTTGCACCGTTTTGCGGATTCCCCGCTCCACTGTATCAAACAAGGCAAAATCGGGAACAGTCCTTCTCGACCTTCTGAGGTAGAACCAGGATGATCATACTGGCCGAATCACACCTGTCCAAAGTGCATTTAAGAGGCAAACCGCAAGCCCCGTTTCAAGTTCGGCGTGTCCACATGCTTCACATGACCTACGAGCCGGGTTGAGCAGTTGCAATTTAGGCCTGCAACGACCATCATTCACAGCATACGAAAACCAGGCGATGCTCTACGCGAGGTTTAGGAACCGCTGTTGAGGTTGAGGAGTCCGAACGTTGGAATAGAGGCCGCTAAGCTGCGTGTAAATGCCCAATGGTAACAAAACACATTTGCACAGTCTCACAAGCAGTATCAAGCAGTCATTCATGAGAGGGATGAACAATTGATGGGCTATGGGTGTCGTCCCGAAGTCAGGATCCAAATCAACGAGGCCATCTGGGATGGGTCCCTGTTGTCCGCCAGACAAACTATGGGAAAAGAATGCGGCGAATGCACGAGTTTGAGAAAAGAGGGCAGTCCATGGAAGTGTTACGCGGCCTCAGTGACTCACAGCTTGCCAAGCCGAATCCTGCCTCCTTTTTCGCCTCCGATTCGCACACTTGTCTGTGAAGTGATGCGGTGCCACGGCCAAAGTCTCGGGAAAGCATGAGCAGCTCAGGCCCCCTCTCCAATTAATATTTGTTCAAAAGGGTGTTTAAGAAAGCTGATCATACTCAACTCAATCGCACAACTGTGCCTGTGCAAACATAAACATCTATTTTTACCTATGGCCATACGTGTTCATGAAATAATGTCCACCAACGGGTTTCCCAGCCATCTCATTCCCATATACACGTTATACCTTGCTTTTGGCTGGGGCTTCATGTTCCGCAGCACGTGGCCACGTGGCTTGCGGTCTCTCAGCTCTAGCCCCACTGCATCTGGGGCTAGAGGGCACAGCCCCAGACTGGGAGCCACTGGCGAACCAGAAGTATCTGGTTTTTTAGGGGAAGCCCTGGAAAAAATGATGGGTGTCCTTTTGGTTTCCCTTGAAACAAACCCCAAAACGGGATCCCCCGAATAAAGACACACTTCTTGATGTCGCAATTCATCCACTTGGTCCCTTCGTCTGCGCCGTGCCATCCCATCCAAATGACTTCATGGAGGACCGAAAGGGACTCCATTCAATCCGGTCTCCTGTCGATCAATTCGGCCACCTCCGGGCTGCCAGGTTCAATGACATCGCGAAGACAACTGCGTCTGGCAGTCCGACGGCTTTTGCCTCTTGCGCGGCTCACCCCTGGCAACGAAGCGAAGGCAACAAGGGTGACCAAAAAAAAAGGCTCAAGCCGCCATCAAGCGAACACAGGACGGTGACATGACCACTTCCAACTTGCCAAGCGGACACTGACTTTGTGAGCTGATCATCCGGCCCATACTCATGACGGAACAACACGCCCCCGCAGAGCCTAGGGGGGAGAGGAAAAAACGGATTTTATGCCAAGAAGGTAGCCTAAACATGACCACCCCGTTGCAAAAACCCGACCCTGACCCTCTACCTCTCCCTTGCCAGGAAGCAGCAAATTTAATCCGTGCCCTCGGCTTGGAAGGGCCTTTGGACAGAGAAACAACGTGCCTCAAGAAACATGGGACTTGCTCCTTTGCTGTTTTGTCAAATGGCAACCCGAAGGCATCTCGCGCAAAATTCACCAGCAAACGTTATAACCTATTCGCCCTAAGGTCGCGCAACACAAGATTATTTCCTTCTTGCCTCCGAACGCAACCTGCCAAAGCCAAAACCATGATGTCGGACAACACTGCAGCCAAACGTGGCACTGGAAATCGGAGAGCCCTACAAATCCAAAGGCGACACGTGTTGATCAGTATTTCTGGCTCCCAAATCACTTCCGATTTCGCGAGAAATGTTTGATCTTAGCGGAAACCCCGAATGGTCATCCCATGCAAAGGACCTTTTGATATCACCACCCGCTAAGGAGGGGGGGGTGTGGGGGGTTCAACATGTGAAAAACAAAAATCGCGGCCCACAGCGTCCCCCACAAATCAACCCCCACGTGTCACGGATGGTTCTTGGCCCGTTGCGCCTCCGGGAAGCTCGCCTGGCAAAAGAGCTTTCGCCCTACGGCTGTTGAGGGTTTCGGTTTTTCTTTCTTAGAAACACCCAATGGTTCTTATTTAACAACAAATAAGGAGAGAACAAAAAGAGGAAAAACAAAAACACGGTCCATGTAGTAAAGCTGCAAAATAATGTTTGGGGAGAGGTAGTTGATATCTCATGTCTTAAGCATGCTAGGTCTGAAACAAGTGTTTGACAGGGTCACTTTCACAAGGCCATTGGATATTTGTTGTAACCGTCCCTCGGTTCGGCGCTTGTGGAAGGCTTTCTCAGTGGGAAAAAAAAGTTATCTTCAACTGCAAACTGATTGAGACCATCCGCTCGTTCAAGATGGCCTTCTTCTCCGTGTTGCCAGTTCTGGAAAAGGGCCTTTCACAATCCAGAAGCGAAATACCCTTCCATGATGGAATGGGAACCCCGGATTAATAAACCAAAGTCGAGCAGACCCACAAGCCACAGTGCTGCACAGGCAAAAAGAGGGCACAATCCCGCAACCCCAAAAGCCCCTTCACAGGCAACACTGCGATGGGGCACATGCTGCACGGGCGCTTGTCGTTTTACTAGTGGTATATGAACAGACTTGGTCGAAGCGTCTTTTGAGGACGTGTCCAGCACAAAGTTAGTGGATGATGAAGACATCTCGCCGAGCGGGTTGGTTGAAAAAGGTTCTTGCTTTGTGCTGGTCATGCATGCTGGTATGCGGATGCTACTGCTGCCAAAGCCATGGCACTCTTGGCAACGGAAATGGAATTGCATTTGCAGTCAAGCCGAGCTGTCATCTCCCGGAGACTAGTTGCTTGTCACCAGTCGCTAGAAATGTGTATGACAACCAAAATTCACAGGCGATACGTCAGCGCATTCTCAAGAAAGGAGTCGAAATCAACAACCTGTTCATTTCCGTTCGGCGTCCGGCCTATCAGACCGGTCCCGCTTTCCATTCACAACAGGGATCCTTACATTGTACACCTGAACATTGCCTTGGTAAATGGCGGTTTCCCTTTATTCTGGTACGGAAAAAAGCCACATGTTTCAATTGCAAGATGGAGATCTTTTAAGGAGCACTGCACAAGCTCTCGGACCTTCAAGCCAAAGTGGGGGGCTCTAATGTTTTCCCCCCGCGCGCGTTCGGTCCCAAAGAATTGGCCAGATTGCGCCTCTTCCGCGGCCCGTCCAAAGTAAGACACCTGGAAAACGGCGCGGCTCAAGAGATCCTTTTACTAGGCTGGAATGAGGACCCCAGCGAAAAAATATCTGCTTCGCCCAGTGGAACACAAAGGGACCCCAAGAAAGCAACAAAGCAAAAAGGGCAGCTAATTCTGGGGAAGTTTAGAGGTGTACAGCAAAATTGCGCGGCCTCGCGACGTGAACCACACACACACCGAACGAAACCACGCCAGCCAGGCACCGAAAGTTGAAACCGAAGCAAGGAAACATGGGGTCTGCGCCACTCACTTCCTGCAAACAATAGTTAGGTGTCCTTATCGAGAAACAAATGCTTTCTCAAACTGGAAGGGAAGGAATCAACTACCATGCAGAGCAAGGCAAGAATCGATCAAAGTAAGGCTCTGCGCCCTTGCTATTTCGGATTTATTGGCGGACAGTGAGCTCTTCTGTCTCCCTAGCCAGGTCAGTGCCGCACTTTACCCGAAAACAGCCTTCCAACAAGGATTGGATTCTGCATTGTTGCTTGTCCCATGTGTTCCACAAAGTGTTTGGACTGCTCTTGTCCACGGCCTGAGCCACCCAATCCTGCACCGAGTGCCCAACTTGACAGCACCTTGCTTCCAGTTCACAAATGTTCCGCTGGCCAACACATAATCGGCCAGGACCAGCAAACGTGAAATGCGCAGGCCCTGTTGGAATATTACTGTCCTCTTGGAAAAGGGCGTTTGTTGGTGGGAGGGTAGCCCTGACAAGCCCTAGGCAAACATGATAGGCATCAACTTGCGCGTTCCAGTGCGCGCTTGTCTAGTAAACACCCGGTTCAGCAACATCCACATATTACCCACTTAAGTGCGCATTACTCTTGACTTGCCTATAGTTGCATGTGGGCCTCGTGTGCTACCCCTCGAGCATTCTATCTCTTAGACCGCGTATATCATTTCCGGAGGATAACACCCATAGACCGCAACCTGCTTTTGGGCAAGCCGGAGGGCCGGAGGGTGTGTTGTTGAATAGAGTGCCTGTCAATTTTATAATATCTATATATACATATATATATATATATATGTGTATATGTATGTACATACGGACAGATATGTAAATATCTACATATATAGATATATAGATATGTGTGTAGGTCTGTTTGTTTGTGGTACCCTTTCTAGGTTGGTTTCAAGGAACACCGAAGCAAGAATCGCCCATTTAGAGCAAGGCACTCCCCTTCTAAAACTAAATTGGTGAAAGGCGAGCAAAAGGAACCAGCCCAAGCACTGGCTGGATTTGTGACAGGCTGGGCCGCCGACAAAGTCCCCTTGGGCTCCTGCGCAAGGAACTTTGGGGAGCCAAGCTCGGATGGATTCGCTGGCCCCTATGGCCCCCTTGGCCGTACCCAATTGCCAAACAAAACCCGCTGGCTTTAAATTGGCCCATTTTGAGCGCGCGGGGATATTGCTCCGCGAAAAAGAAACGACAAGACAAGACTGTCCAGGAGTTTGACAAACGGCCGTCTAGTTCAATACAAAGCTACTAATTTACCGATTCAACAAACAAGAGACCACGCATTGTCCAATATTTTTGGAATTCTGGGACATGGACAACTACTACCCTCTCACGGCGCATGTAATCGGTTCTGGCAAAGCGTGAGAAATAATGATAGGGGGCAGGCTCTTTAGGTGGCTTTAGCTGCCTCTTTAGCTCTTTCGATATCAATGCGGAGTCCTCAAATCTCAATGGTTCAACGGGCAAAGGGTTGCCGCACTAAGGCAACATCCAAGCTAAGGGGAGGGGCTGGGCTCGCTTGCAACTTGTCAACCCCCCCCCGCCAATTCGCTGGTTCTCCTTTCAGTTGTCGATTGAAACCATCAAAAAAAGGGGTACCAACTCCAACCAAATACATACCCAAACGCACTGAGCAGTATGACTCAAGTGCCCATGGCGTGAACGCTTTCGACATATAGCGCGAATGGGATTCGCGGACCCAAAGAGTTTCAGGGACCTGGTCCCTTTGAGGACCCTGCCAGGTTCCGTTCATTGGTGGGAAGGCATTGGTAAGGCGTTGTGTCCCCCATAAGTGGTGCTTGTTTAAAACTCCAGACACGCAAAACCCTCCTGAGAATGTCCTTGACCCAAAGGAATCCAAGCGCGTCGCCCCCATTTCCCCAGTCAAAGGCGAGCCATGCCCGCCCCCCCTGGAGTTGCGGCACCGCATATCACGGCCTGTGATGGGCAAACAATTTTCCAAGGACTCCAGCTGCCTAACATCTCTGAGTGTGGCCGTGCCGATGAATCCCTCAAACCGGACAGTTGCCAAGCTCGAAAAGGAGGCCCATGCAGGTACAAGTGAACGGCTAATTTAATCCATTAAAAGGTTCCATGTGCGATCGGTACAGTAGGGTGGCCGGCTTCCCTTGGGTCGGTCCCAGTCCTCACAGCGACCTCGCCAACAGCACATGTTCTTTTTGCGCGTGGCTGCCGGCTGTGCGGCCCAGCAAATAATAACTGATATAGGTGCTGAAGCATGCCTGTTTGTCGCCGAATTCGAGAGCTGGTGGAAAGCTGGCAAAGCTAATGCCAAAGGTAAAAGCAGGAAGCGGACAACAGGACGAGGCGCCTCAGCAAACGAGGAAACCGGAACAAAAACGAAGCGGAGAGAAGCGAGATAATCAGCAAAGAAAAGGCACGAGCGAGATCATGGGAAAAATATATGAAATGGACTGGCGAAGGGCGAGTCAGAGCGGAAGGAAAGGCAGAGCGGAGAGCAAAGCAAAAGCATGAAGAGCAAAGGAGAAAAGCAAAGAGCAGAACGGAAATCTTGGAAGATTAAGCACAAACAAATGGCGGCATTGCTTCGGGATTCGACACTTGTTTGGGGAGGCTCTGCTATTTATGTACAAAAAAAAACTGCAGGTTCGTGGCCCCCACTCCCAACTCCGATATCCAAGGTGCGGGGTTGGCACTCTCTGCTCAGAAAACTGGCTGAGGGCAAGCCACTGTCCCATAGAACATGTGGAACTCGCAAGGGAGAACCCGGGGGCCCCAAGTTGTGCCTCGAAGGACATATTTCGCCATTTGCTTTCGCACACATGTCGTGCGTTCATGGGCAGCTTGCTGACGATACAGCTATGTTACAACAATCAAAGGCATGGGGAGCTTGCGTTTACCCCCCAGAGCATGTCATAAAACGGGGCAACACCATTTTAGCAAGCCATCTCGATACGAACGCCAGGCGCCAGGCTCCGCGGCGAGCGGGCCTAGAGGGCTGGTTGCCAGGAGGCTTCTGAATTGGCACTGTCCACTGTTGTGGCTTGCTTTTCCTCCTGAGGCGTTCACTTCGTGGCAGGTGTTATATGTATAAATATCAATATATGGGGAATATGTGTATAATATGTATATATATATATATATGTGTGTGTAAGATATGAGGTATACCCACACGCGCACGGACACTCCCACATGCACACGACGGACACGCACACATATGCCACGCCCAGCCAAAAGACTAAAGCAACACAAAAGTGGTGACAAATATTGACAAATAAACCAAGCACCGCTATCCATGAACACATCCCAGCGCCTCTGTCGATTCCCCGAGCAACCAGAACAGATACTAAGGCTTCAATTCCAACCACCTCTACCATGACTGCAGATTTCGCCAAGGGATTGAACAACGTGGCTTTCACCCCTAAAGGCCCCAGAATGGTGCTTGTCCCTTGACACGACCTCAATCAGGGTATCAACTCCAAGAGACACTCACATCAACTATGTCAATAAAACTCATCCAGGTCCCAACAGGCTTATTCATGTCAATACCGAATCTGTCAATGCCAACCCCCCAAGACCTCCAGCGTCAAACACCGAGCAAATCGAGCCGAACTCCGGGCCCGCGCGCCCGGAAGAGCTGCGCATAGCGCCACTCCCTGAGCGCCAGGGGCAAACTCTGCCGCAACGGCGTGGCCACCTCCCGGCGCCTCGCGAGCGGCGGGGTGGGAGGGGGTCAGTTCCTGGGGGAGCAGGAGGGGGGGAGGGGAGGCTGGGTGCTTTGGGGAAACCAAAAGGAAACCAAGAGCGAAAAGGAGGAACCATTATTGGAGACAGAGTCGTTTCGGAAGAACTGAAGATAGCCTGGAATCAGTTTCCGTTGGATGCGAATGCTTGGAGCTGGGAGAGGGGGTTCAGAAATGTTGATGGTTCAGGGCTTGCCTGCTCACTGACTCTTTGGCCTGAGCTTCAGCCGTACGATTCGAAGCCTGAGATCCTGGCCCAACTTTCAAGCGCGTCTTAAAGTAGAACTTGTGCGCAGTGTCGCCTCAGCCAAGGGACGCCCAAAAAGAACACCTGCCGGCGCGTGCGTTCAAAACCTCGGCGCTGTCTGCTTTTGTGTAAGGGATTACACCTCTAATGTCAGAGGGTCAAACTTCAGTGATCTAGGAAATGCCCGGGTGCCAAGGAGTAATTCAGCATGAATCTGGGGCGCTTCGGCTCAATACTCACAAGCCACGCCTTTGCAGATATTGCGCGCATCATTGCCTTTGGCACCAGCCAAGCGCTTCATTGGGCGTGCATCCTAAAGTGAAGAGCACCGGCATCCATGTCGTTTGTCCACATCCAAACTCCGACGCCCATCAAACGTCAAATCGGACTTGCCACACGCCCAAACTGTCCGCCAAGTTGCATCTTTGTTTTGAGGTACCCTTTAGCCTTTTGGGGTGGTTTTTCAGGCGCCAATTTTGGGGGCGTTCCCGCTCTCTTGAGACACACCAAGTACCTCGAAGGTGGAGATTCGAGGCTGTGGCTGCTGCGCAGCACCGCCAGCAGAGATGCTTGGATCTTCTCTGGCGTGGTCTCCTCTGCCGCATGCGTCGGTTGCGGGTCTGAACATCCGAACTATGTTCGAACAAAAACAAAAAGACTCCCTTGGGACAACACCGAGGCCAGTATGTGAGAGATTGCGGAAGGAAAGGGTCGCTTGAACGCTTGGCTACCTTACAGAGAAATGCGAGCCTTACGAACCCCCGATGTGGACTGCCCGCATCATGGCAATTGGTCGCGCCTGCATGCCACTTGGCAAAGTTCAAGCCGTAAGCGTATCTGCTTCTCCCATCTTTTTTCCACAGACAGCCTTGCCTTGGGTACAGTAGTTAGTCAAGAACACGGCCACCTCAAACACAAAAGAACAACTCGAAGCTTCACCTATTTCGGCCTGTGTCAGTTTATCCTCTCCAGGTCAAGCTATGGCGCTTTACAAGCTGCCATTGACAAGGTCGACGAGCCGACAACAGAATCGCTGTCGTCCTACGTCGGCCCACTCTGCTTGAAGATTCCAATTGGTAGCCACATCTCGTGGGCTCGGTTGCTTCTTCATTTTCATCCCGGCAAAGTCACACATCTGTGTGAAAGAAGACCTGCAGTCAGCACAACAAAATCCAGCATCGAAACAAACAACATCGCCAAAGCATGCCGAAACTCTGAACGGTTCTGTTCTTTTTAGGGGGCCCCCCAAAAAACAAGTGGCTTTCCTTGTGGTTCCCTTCCAAGCTACCAGACAAGGGGTACCCAACAAAGACACACTCAAGGAACCCACCCGCCCTACACGTCCCCTGCCGCTCCCCGTGCGCCAAGGCCGCCCGCAGCGCGAGCAAGACGCCAAGCCTTAGTCGCCGTGCTGGCATGTCTGAACGCTCGCGCGACCGACGGAAATCAAACTGAAGCACACATCTATAGGCCCTAAGGCTTGTGATCTAGGTCCGGCACAGCTTTCAGATGCGCTTTCTGCCCGGGAAAGAGCATTGTGCCGTGCCAACGCAATTTGTTGCCTTGCTCGTTGACCATGATCGAACAAAGCAGATTCCATTTACCATCTTCGGACTACATCAGGGGTCGCTTCAAACAGGGTCTCTTCACAGCGACGGCACCCCCAACAAAAAAGTAGTCCCCAACGCGACCAGAGTAAAGCTATTATTGACGCGACCTAGTACAAGCAAAAGTGGAGAAAAGCTAAACACAGCTAAAAAGAGCTAGTCCAAAACGGGCTTGTTGAAAGCTCAGCTGCAGCAACAGGCCTCTGGCACAGCCTTCTGGGACCCTCGCTTACCCTCTAACACCAAGCCAGCCTTTTCCCCGATGTCTATCTTGTCTACTGTCTAACACAACTGGCGGTCGCACACATGCGAGCAGCTTGACATGTGATGCAGGCAGATTCAACTAAGGCGGCCCTCAAGCACCAAACTAACCTGACGAACTTATGACTCTGTGACTCTTTGGCCCTTGCAGTCCTCAGCCGAGCCCCGTGTTTTCCCAAGGCGGGCACGCTCGTAGAGCGTCGCGCAAGTTGAAAGTGAAAGCAGCCTCGGTTTCAATGCTGTGCCAGCGCCCACGCCTCCGATGCCCAGTGGCATCGAAATCGGGGATATGGGTCAAGGAAGCCAATAGCCAGGGTTAAACATACCCAGTGGGTCCATGTACCCGGCAAAGCAGGTCAACAAGAGAACCAGCCCTTAAAAACCAAGAGGACAATAGCTGGCTAGCTACTATAGTGGTGACTGGGATCCACTGGGATATAGAAGGCTTGGATCCAAACTGTAAGCATAAAACCCACAAATCAAACGTTTCGTCGGCCCATCATAACGTCATAACGTATCAGTAGCGTTGTTCCTCCGAGGGCCGGGCCTGCGCATAGAGGCTGTCATGCAAATGGAGAATCGGGCGGTATCCCACCTTGGCAGAGTACAAAAGGCAACTCAACTATCCAAAGCTGTCCAAGAATAGATGGGTGTGTTGATTTCCTGCCTGTTTATCCTAGTTCTGACGGCCTTTGTCGGAGCAGCCAAGCATGAAACTACGAAACCACAAGATGTTTCGTCCGCCTTCACGGCGCAAAGCGAAAATGGCCCCTACACACGCTCATGCCACGCAAATGCATACTTGTTCCGCTGGTTTTGTAAGTGCCACCGTGTACTCCTACTTGGAGCAACTCTTGCTCGAGCACCTGGCCTGCAGTCCCAAGTGCAACGCCTAGTTGAGCCCGTGTGGGTCAAACATGCCAGTGATGGGGGCAAGCTGGATTGTTTGTAAAAGCAAAGGCTGCGCAAGTCGAGGACGTCAGTTGCCGGGCTGGCAATCTGCATCGGTCATGCGTGTTGGGCATGTGCATTTGGCTTTGCCTTAAACAGCTCAAACCAGCTTGAAGGAATCTGCCACCCTATGCCACATCAATCGACAGAAGTCGGCATATGGATTTGCCGCACAAATATTCCCATGCAAAACTGGTGAACTCCCTCCCCCAGTTCAACATGTAGGCCCATGGGAATTGACTATCGGAGTATGGGGAGTCTGTCTATTTGGGGTACGCCTGGGGAACTCAATCAAGACCCCGGCCGCGGCTCGACGACCCTTCCACCGGCAAAGGCTTCGTGAGGAGAAGCCGCTGGGCAAGCTGACACCTTGGGATGGCCAAGCACATCTCTTAGCCGGAGCTGAAGTCCCATTCGCTCAACAAGCTGGAATCCATTCGGCCCATTCTTAACATGCATAATGTTAACCCCGGATCTAAGTAGAACCCCTGGTTGCTAATGATCGGGGGGTGTCCAATTCCTTTTTTGTGGGGATTCAGACCACTTTTGGAGGGAACACCCGCCTAATAATGGGACGGGTTTATTAATCTTGGGTCAACATTTTGCAATGGAGCCCAATAGCATGAAGAGAGTTAAAAATAGGGAGGCTTGCACCATCTATGCTTGAGACTCTTGGCACAAGAACCGACAAACAGTCCAAGTCGTGAATTCGGAGTGGCTGCCCGAATCTTTGAGACTGGCCCTTACGTCAGCGCCGGCATCTAGCTGTCCAGCAACCATTTCTAGCATGTCAATGTGAGATGCAGGACGCCGTAAACATTTAACTCCAGGGGAGTCGGGCTGCAAATGGATTGCGTTTGCTTCATGCTCCCTCTCTTTGCCAACTGCCACACTGTTCACCTGTGCGTGCTGTGATCTACAATCAACATAACAAGGCTCCGTCTGTCAAGAGAACACCCTCGCTCTCACGAAATTCAGGTCCCGCGTCCTGCCTCCGCGAGTCGAAAGGATCCAGTGCTCCAGCTGAATCCGTTGTGACTGGGGCCGGCCGATCCCGGATCTGGGAATGAAGGAAATTCAACGGGAGAACTTAAACACGGTTCTCTTGGAATCTGATTGACATTTCCCAGGCGTTGGTGCGTCACCAGAAAGATCTGAAGCCTTGCTGGTCGAGCAAACCCGACCGCGCAAAGTCTGTCGGCGCAAGTACTCAAACTTTAGCACGCCTGCCCCGGTCCCAGTTGTACTCTGACTAGGATTAAACTCTTATCCACAGGAGCATGTTCATCATATGTTCCCTTCAAACATCACCCCGAAACCTGATCTCAAGTAAAGGCAACCCAAAGGTGGTGTTCAACTCATCTTGGGAAGCTGACCTCTGTTTGTTCTTTTGGTCCTATCAACCCTGAACGCGCTGCGGCAAATCCATTCTCCGATCGCAGAGCGGAAAAGAGAGTGAGAGAAGCCTCTTCAGCCTCACCCCACAGGGAAATCAAGCGAAAGCCTCCTATCCCCATCTGGAGGTACACCAATGTGTGCTCTCCTGCATGGATACTGCTGATTTCATGTGCTCCGTGCCTTGACCACGCCCGCCAACATGCACCAAGAGGGTTTGTCCCATACCCTGGTGCCATGGGCTTAACAGCTTCCATGGGGCTCAATTGCAACCTCCGGCTTTGGGTTGGTTCCCATTCCGCTTGACTTGGGACATTGCAAACGAGCCCACAGCACGGCAACAAACAGAAAACACGGGGCTCCCTAGTCGTCAGGGATTTGCCACGCGTTGTGAATCCAGCTCTGTCGCGCTGGGCCGCAGCTCATGGGAAATCATTAGGCACCTTTTCAACATTTTCCAACAGCTATTGAAGCATTTCCCCTAAAGCGGTGACGGCCTGAATATGGACACCACTCTTGCGCAACCCTGGGGTTTGGCGATCACTCGACCGCTATGTCACTTAGGTTACAGTCATTGTCAGTTTTACTGGGCCCAGTTCCCTCATGGGTGCGCCTCTTTCTGAGGGTGCCACAACTTGTTGAATGGCTTTAAACGGAACCAAACGGAACTTGGGGGGTCCAACTTTCCGACCTACTTCAAGACAAACCCTCGGAGTTCTATTCTAGTGCTACCTTCCCCATTCTTTCCAGGGATCCTTCTTTCTTGAAAATCTGAAGGAAAAAAAACAGGGGAAACGGCGGTTTTTTTGAACAGAACGGTGGTTGAGAGGACTGGGAACTCAACCCGAGGCCCCAGGTCCGAGTCGGAGAGTTCGCCTGGCAGAGGCGCTCAGCGATATAGCTGCGCCGCTCTGACGGCCTGAAGCGTAGGCGTGCCGTGCACGTGAGCCGCACGAGCCGCACCGAGGGCTTCTCTCCAGGAGCCCTTTCTCTCAAAATGTGGGGGGCCTTTTCGGGGGAGGGCGGCACCAGGCTAAGAACCATCTTGACAATCTCACAAGTCGCTCACTGGCACACAATTGGCATAAAAGTTGGCCCAAAGAGGCCTACAAATCCAGCCTCAAAGCAAGTGAAAGAAAGACCTCAACACAATCGTGGATAAGAAGGCAGCCCTGAATGAGGTTTGGATCTAGATGTCCTGTGAGAGAGGTACTCATATAGACCTCGACCTCTGCCTGTGACCAGTGAAGGACAAGCCCTCGGGTACACCTGGATAAATCAGACGGGGGGATTGCACGTGGCTTCTCAAACTCTTCTGGATATGCAATTCCCAACGGTGGGTCTGACTCACCTGTCATCCAAGTAACGTGTAATTGTCAAAGTAAGGCATCAATCGAGCTGGATCCTGCATTCTCGGAGTGTGTCGGTTGGGGGTGTTGAATCTAAAACAACAAACAATGATTTATTTTAACTCCAAAAAGAAAAAAACAACCACCCAAACCAGCCCCCAGGTGTTGGCCCGATCGATCCGAGGCTCTGACGACAAGTGCCGCAGCAAGCGCCACAGCCGTTGCAGCTCTGGGTGCCTGGAAGATTCCTACGGAAATGTTCAGCCAACTGGCTGTCTGAACATTTTTGTCACTTTCCGAGTGGATTGGCCAAGCAAGTATGAACTTGTTGATTACCACCAAAATGGTATTCCCAAAACGTTTTAAGTCCAGGAAATCAGGAAGTTATTTCTTTGGAATGCCTGCAAACCCAGAGCAAGAGGGGAGGTTTCCCTGAAAAAGGATCAACCCTTCAAGGGGCCAGTCACTAGGCAAATGAATCAAGGAGCTATCGATATATTGCTTATTTGGTTTCCACGCAATGGAAGCTCACGGGGCGCCAATTTAAGAAGACCACAATCGTAGCGTCCAAGGGCCTCCATTCAAGTTCCGCGTGCATAGCGGATTGAGACGCACTTTGTGTAGATTCCACCTCCAACCTCTTTGCTACTCTTTTTGGAAGACTATTCACAAGGTGATATATGCTATTTCTCAATGAGATCTGAACGGGAGCGTGAGATAGCGTGAGACCCAAATTATCCTCACGTGAGCCTCACGTCCTTGTTCTCTTCAATTTTCTTGTGGGCATGGTGCTTCTTCACTGCTTTTCTTCTTGTCCTTGCTTCGTTTGTTCCTGTGATACACGCTGCGTGCAATCAGCGGGTGAGTTCCCCTAAGCAACATCCACTCGATGCGTGAGCCTGTGGCAGGCTCACGAAAATCCGAAAACTGCAGACCACATGGCCTAAAGGAAACACCGCTTCTGCAAAAGTTTTAAGTTGCCAGGTGCAGGGCTATCATTGGTGATTTGGGTTCAGCCGTTTACGCATCATTGCCTTTCCTGAAGTGTTGAAAAGTGTGGGAGCAGCTGAGTTATATAAAACGACACCTGGGAAATGCAAACCACAACATGTGACCAACAAAACAAGCAGTCGCAAAGCCCCATGCACGGGAAATCACCAGGCGGGCCACATTACATTATGTTCCGTCATCATGGCATGCTCATGACAAGGAATCCGACGGGTGCATCTTGACAGGAAAACGAGCACCAGCTTGCCCTGTCGGACAGCCATGCGAAAAGCTTGGTAACAAGTTAAGGAACACAATGGCTGCGAGCCACCAAAAAATGAATACTGGATGAGAACCAAAGTGCCACCTGGCCAGTGCCCACCCACAGCACTGAGACCTGCACTTCTTCGGCCTCAAGCTAGCGGTGCGCCCGGAATGAGACTCACATCATAGCGACTCTCGCATGCCAAAAAAAACGCCTCATAAGGTTCCTGCATCCTCGGCTGAAATAATACAGCCTCTTTTTACTATCCATCGAAGTGGACAAAGAACTTCCCCAAAAGGATAGTAAGTCTCTGGCTTCCACGATTGTTGGGAGGGACACGCTCCCCTAATAGTCCACTTGATGTACCCGTGAGCGTTGGGACAAGCGCCGGGGCTCGATTCAATGCTGGTAACGGGCCGCCCATGCTGGTGTGTTGCAAATCTCATCGCAGTGTTGCACTTGATCATGGCACTGTATCCACATGCTCCACCGAGGTCACAACAAATACATTAAAATATGTGCAATCTGAATCCCAACATGCAGCTAAATGTTTCAGATGCAAATGCAATCAAGTCCGAGCTAAGACTGATGCTGCCACCAAATTCTGCTAGCAGCGGTGTTGACTGTGGTTTGGCTCAGCCCACAAATGCCCACAACAACCTTATTGTGTGGCCTGCGCAACTCAATGTGCTCAGACTGCAGATCGACAGGTAACCAGGTAACCTAAAAGACCACCGTTGTCTTTCGGTTTTAAAGAGTCCTGCAAACAGCAGAATTGAGCACAACATGTCACAACATGTTCCATCCCGACGCAGAAAAGACAAACTCTTCGATTCCACTTTGCAGCTTCTGGAGTCGATGTGCGCGCTGGCTCGGCATTCGTTTGATCAACTGATGCATCGTTGATTGAAGGCACCTGGCGCTAAGAGCATCTGAAGCCAGCGGTGCTCGGCTGTTGCAGTCGCCCTGTGAGAGGGGTCAGCTAGCTTAAGCCTGAAGTCTTACCGGCAATAGGTGTGCTGAAGCTTCCAATTGATGAACAAAGGCGGCAACCAGCTGACCATTGACAATTGCGGAGCAAACACGGCTTGCTGCAGTGTCTTCTGCCCAACACTGAATGAAATAACAATTGAAACATGGCTCCACGGGATTCCCGTCAACAGGAGTCCTTGTTGCCCGCAGTTTTGGGCAACCCGTGCTCACGGGACCAAAATCGGGCCTTTGTGCTTGAACATTGTCTTTAGCAGGCTGAAGATGCACAAAGCCAGGCTGGTGTGTAGCAAACCCTTGGCAACTGCTTTGTGTTTCTTTCAATTTAATCCTTTAATCTAGTACCAGCAAAGGGTGAGCATAACATAACAAAACAATCCTGGGATTGAACAGTAGGCAAGCAGACTACTTTCCACACTGCAAAGACAGAAATTGAAGCCAAGCAGAAACTCCTTCGACGCCAGCTGGCTGTCAGTTGCCGGTCTTGAGGGCGCCACCCTCTGCATACTTCCTGGAGCGCAGGCGGCGCAACTATTTAAAACAAAATGCTCAAAGGGGCGGTCACCTGTCTGCATGTTCACGCAGTCTCTGAGCATCATACCAAAACGAAGCCAGCTACTTTCACGCGAGCGTTCGGTGTCCCATGAAGTCGTGGGCTGGCAATGAGCTGGCCCTGTTTCTCCGACATTGCCCTTCATGGTCTCGGGCCCCCTGCCCAAATGGCTGCCGTCCCCTGCCGACACAAACTGGGCACTGCCCCCCTCAGAAAGCCGACGAAAAGTTCGGGCAAACATGTTCACACAAGAAGTGGCAAGGTTTTAGAGAGGCCCCTGGCGAATCTTTGGCAGCATGCGGTTCTCCGCCATGCTACTAAGAACCAATATCTGGGACAGTGGGCCAGGCATCTGCGCCAACGCCACTTATTGTTGGAATTCACCAACGTGAGTAAAGTAGTGGCGAAGCAAGGGGCCTTCATCATAGTTGAATCACCATGGCTAGTGCGGAATCATGAGCTGAAACAAAAACAAGCTTCAGGTATATCAAAAGACTTCAGCTTGGAGCAAATGATTGACTCTCAAGGGGTCACTGAAGTTCAGGTTTTGCAAGGGAGCCTTTGAAGCCGGGATATGCTCCCACGAGAAAGATCCCGGGTGGCGCAAGTGAATCCACGTAGAGTCGTTGAAGAAGGACTTCTGTGCTAACTGCAGCGTTGCGCGACCCGAGAACACACCCCAACAGAATCGCTCACATTTCCAGCTCCACTGCACGACCTCTGATACCTCCAGATTCGCCTCTTGTGGTCAAGCTGCTCAACCCTCCAGCCGGCGCATCGCTGACCCAACCCGATTCCAGTCATCACGGCTCAAAGGACTCTTCAATCAACCACCGCGCACAGCCATGAGAACATGGCAAGCGAAGACAACCGTTACCTTTTGGGAAAACAGAGTCCAACCGTCCACCTACAGGCCAAACGGCTAGTTGGCTTGGGCTGGCAATGGCAGTCTCCGTAGGCATTGTCGGAAGCACAAGTCCAGGCGCAAGCTGCACCCAAATGATAGCACTCAAATGGGTGTCATTGTTTGAGGGTACTTCTTTGTGTTTTTCAAGGGAAACCACGAGAAAATCCACATTTTGGTTTTTAAACGAACACACACAAATAGAAAGAACAACTGAGATCAGCAGTTATGACCTAACTGTTTGGAGGTATCCCCATCCCGGGCCTTCGGGGCAAGCTTGCTGAGGAAGTTTGCTGCCTGAGGTGCCAAGATTCAAACAGAATCCGCTTCTTGGCATTCGTTTGACAGATGTAGTTTCGGCTTGGTGGGTGAAAAAAAATAAAAGTAGGTTCCGTGTAGGGCGTAAGGGAGTCTGGGCATATTTGGTCCCGCTTTATGGAAGTTGCTAAGGGTGATTTTTTTCTAGAAAATGCGTTGTTGAGCCAACCACATGCCGCAGCTTTACCGAGTTTCTCGGATTGTGGAACCCCTCGATTTTGCAATTGTGGGTACCTTTGCGACACCATAACGGGTGCAAGAACACGCGCATGCGCACGTGCATGCGCACGGTCGCGCGCCCGCCCGCCCGCCCGCCCGCCCGCACACTCACACTCACACACTCAACACACACTCACACACACACACACACACACGCTTAACACACACACACACACACACACGCACGCACGCACGCACAGACATACAGACACACAGACACACAGACACACAGACACACAGACACACAGACACACAGACACACAGACACACAGACACAGACACACAGACACACACAGACACACACAGACACACACAGACACACACAGACACACACAGACACACACAGACACACACAGACACACACAGACACACACAGACACACACAGACACACACAGACACACAGACAGACACACACAGACACACACAGACACACACAGACACACACAGACACACACAGACACACACAGACACACACAGACACACACAGACACACACAGACACACACAGACACACACAGACACACACAGACACACACAGACACACACAGACACACACAGACACACACAGACACACACAGACACACACAGACACACACAGACACACACAGAGACACACAGAGACACACAGACACACAGAGACACACAGAGACACACAGAGACACACAGAGACACACAGAGACACACAGAGACACACAGAGACACACAGAGACACACAGAGACACACAGACACACAGAGACACACAGACACACACAGACACACACAGACACACACAGACACACAGACACACACACACACACACAGACACACACAGACACACACAGACACACACAGGCACACACGACACACACAGACACACACACAGACACACACAGACACACACACAGACACACACACAGACACACAGACACACACACAGACACACACAGACACACACACAGACACACACACAGACACACACACACAAACACACACACACACAGACACACACATACAGACACACACACACAGACACACACACACACAGACACACACAGACACACACACACAGACACACACAGACACACACAGACACACACACACAGACACACACACAGACACACACACACAGACACACACACACACACAGACACACACACACAGACACACACACACAGACACACACACAGACACACACACAGACACACACACAGACACACACACACACACACACACACACACACACACACACACACACACACACACACACACACACACACACACACACACACACACACACACACACACACACACAGACACACACACAGACACACACACACACAGACACACACACAGACACACACACACAGACACACACACAGACACACACACAGACACACACAGACACACACAGACACACACAGACAGACACAGAGAGACACACAGACACACACACAGACACACACAGACACACACAGACACACACAGGCACACACAGACACACACAGCCACACACACAGACACACACAGAAACACACAGACACACACAGACACACACACACGCACGCACGCCCGCCCGCCCGCCCGCCCGCCCGCACGCACGCACGCACACGCACATATGCGCACACACAAACTCACAGTACACACACACACATATACGCCCACACACGCGCTGCAGCAGCCACATGAATCACGCACGCGTAATCACATGGGCGTACTACAGCCCGCGCATGCACGGCCCCCACCCCGGTACCCACTCACTCACTCTGACGCACGTACACAAGTGGCGTCCACTCACGCACACGTGTCACACGAGGAGAGATTTGCAAAACATCATTTGGAACCCGAACAGCCCGCCCCAGCCCCTAGCATCTTGCCACCTGAGCGGCTGCTGCTCGGAAGGCGGTTTCGTCCTTGAGCGCCACAGCAGCTTCCGCCAAGAAAAGGTCCAGGGCACCTGAGAGCTTTCGTGCTGTCCAAAGGGTTCCAGGCTTTAATTCTTCAAATCCTTGCGAGAGCTGCCTTTTGAAGACGTTGTTGCTGCGGGCGAGGCCCATGCAAAGCAAAAGCCTGCTGGCTTGAGCCGACAAAGCGCCGGCTCCAAAATTCCAAGCGCCATCTGAGCTGCATCAAGGCTTGTCAAGTCCCACAGCAGCGTCGACGCACCTGCGCCACGCTCAGGTCGGCCGCTGGATTGGCTTACGCAGCAAAGAGCTTTCCCACGATCTCTTGGAACGGCGGCTCCTTTACGATGTGAAAGTTGCAGGCGGCTGCGCGCGTTCTTCGCACAACTTGGCTGAGCCAGGTACTACATGTAGCCGTAAAACACCCAACCGGTAGACTTTGTGGAGCTTACCTGCCAGACTCTCCCGTTCTTGGGTACAACTAGCACACATTTGTCTAGACAATTCGTTGACGGCCAAAACCAGCAATGCAGCTGGGGGAAAACACATTCTTCAAGTTCAAAGGATGAGACATGCTAGTTCCGGCTTTGACGCGCTGCAGCCTTCAAGGCGGGCAACGCTCAAGGTGTTCAACCTCCTGAGTGAAATGCATATATTGAAAAATGAGCCAGCCTGTAGCTGCATCAATGTCACCCTCTCTACTAAACTCTGTTGCTTTTGCAGGGCGGGCTGGGCCGGCCATTCCTTCTTTTGGGCCGGCCGCAGAAGAATGAAAAAACAACTTGTGGAAGCTTGGCGGGGACATGTTACCCCAAAACCATTTTCATGCCTTTGTCATGGCTGTCCAAAGCCCGAATTGATAAGAGCAGTCAGTCATTACAGCAAGTTGAGCAAGCTCGCCAAACGTGA